CAGGCAATGTTTCCTAAAATATTTTATGAGGCCAACATAACCCTGATACCAAAACCTGGTAAGGATAACACACAAAAAGAAAATTATAGACCAATATCTCATGAATACAGATGCAAAAATTGTAAACAAAATACTACTAGCAAATTAAAAACAAACAAACAAAAAAATAGCACATCACAATCAAGTGCAGTTTATTCCAGGGGCACAAGATGGTTCAACATACCCAAATCAATCAGTGTAATGCATCACATTAAGAAAACAAAGGAGAAAAAGCATATGATCTTAACAATACATGGAGAAAAAGCATTTGATAAGATACAACATCCATTTATGATTAAAACACTCAATAAAATGGGTATAGAAGTAAAGTATCTCAATATAATAAAGGCCGTATATGACAAACCCTCAGCCAATATCATACTCAGCAGTAAAAACCTGAAAGCTCTTCCTCTAAAATCAGAAACAAGACAAGGATGCCCACTCTCACCACTCTTACTCAACATAGTTATGGAAGTCCTAGCCAGAATAATCAGGCAAGAGAAAGAAATAAAAGGCATCCAAATTGGGAAGGAAGAAGTAAAAGCATCACTTTATGCAGATGACATAATTCTAATATATAGAAAACCCTAGAGACCCCACCAAAAAACTATTAGAAACAATAAACAAATACAGTAAAGTCGCAGGATACAAAATCAGTGTACAAAAATGCACTGCTTTCCTATATACTTACAATGAAACTTCAGATAAAGAAAGGGATAAACAATTCCTTTTCCAATTGCAGCAAAAAATAACATACCTAGGAATAAACTTAACAAAGGATGTGAAAGATCTATATACTGAAAACTAAAAAGCAGCATTAAAAACGATTGAGCTCTGGCCGGTTTGGCTCAGCGGTTAGAGAGTCAGCCTGCGGTCCAGAGAGACCCGGGTTTGGTTGGCCCTGGTTGGTCGAGCAGGTGGCAGCCACTCGATGTGTCCCTTTCACGTTGATGTTTCTCTCTCTCTCTCTTCCTCTCTCTCCCTCCCACTCTATCTGAACAAAAAAATGGAAAAATGTCCTCGGGTGAGGATAAAAAAAAAAAAAGATTGAAAAAGAAACAATGAAATGGAAAGATATTCCATGTTCATGCATTGGAAGAATCAATAATTAAAATGGCCATATTACCCAAAACAATATACAGATTTAATGCAATCCTCATCAAAATCCCAATGTAATTTTTTATATCACTAAAACAAAAAATTATCAGATTTGTATGGAACCACAAAAGATCTCCGAACAGCCACAGTATTCATGAGAAAAAAGAACAAAGGCAGAGGTATCACACTACCTGACTTCAAATTATCCTACAGAGCTACAATAAACAAAACAACATAGTATTGGCAGAAAAACAGACACACTGACTGACCAATGGAACAGAACTGAGAGCCCAGAAATAAAACCACATGCATATGGGCAAATGGTTTTTGACAAAGGAGCCAAAACAACAATAGAGAAAAAAAGCCTCTTCAACAAATGGTGCTAGGAAAATTGAAAAGCCACATGCAAAATAATGAAGCTAGATTACAGTTTGTCACCATGTATAAAAATTAATTCAAAATGGAGCAAAGACCTAAATATAAGACCTAAAACAATAAAATACATAGAAGAAAACATAGGTATACTTATGGACTTTGGTCTTAGAGAACATTTCATGAAATTGACCCCAAAGTCAAGGAAGTAAATGTAAAACTAAATAAATGGGACTATACCAAACTAAAAAGTTTCTGCACAGCAAAAGAAACTTTGCCAACAAAACAAAAAGGCAACCAATAGAATGGAAATCTGTTATTTGTAAACAAAAACTCCAATAAGGGGTTAATATCCAAAATATATAACTTAACACCAAACAACAACAAAAAAATGGACAGATAATTTGTACCAACACCTCTCCCAAGGAGACATACAAATGGCCAAGAGACATATGAAAAGATGACCAATTTTACTAACTATTAGGGAAAAGCAAATCAAAACTACGAGATACCACCTCACACCTGTTAGAATGGCTATTATTTAAAACACAGGTAATAACAAGTGTGGGAGAAGTTGGGAGAAAAAGGAACCCTCATTCACTGCTGGTGGGAATGTAGACTGTTACAGATACTAAGTAAAACAATATATCGGTTCCCCCCAAATTTAAGAATAGCCCTGGCTGGTTTGGCTCAGTGGTTAAAGTGTCAGCCACAGACCAATGAGTCGCAGGTTCCATTCCGGTCAAGGGCACATTACCTCAGGTGCAGTTTGTCCCCGGCCCTGGTTGGGTCATAGGGGAGGCAACCACTTGATGTCTCTGTCTCTGTCTCTCTCCCTCCCTCCCTCCTTCCCGTTCTATCTCAAGATAAACAGATAAATAGAAAAAAAATATCTTCAGGCGAGGATTAAAAAAAAATTAAGGCCTGGCTAGTTTGGCTCTGTGGTTGGAGCATCTGCCCGTGGACCAGAGAGACCCAGGTTCGGTTCCCGCTAAGGGCACGTACCTCGGTTGCAGTTTATCCCTGGCCCCAGTTGGGGTCATGTGGGTGGCAACCAGTCAATGTGTCTCTCTCACATTGATGTTTCTCTCTCTCTCTCTTCACCCCTCTCCCCCTCCTGCTCTATCTGAAGATAAATGCAAAAAATGTCCTCACGTGAGGATAAAAATAAAAAATTAAGAATACAGTTACCATATGACCCAGCAATCTCTCTTCTGGGTATCTACCCAAAAAAGTCAAAAATATTTATTTGCAAAGATATATGCACCCCTATGTTCATTGCAGCATTATTCAAGATGGACAAGACATGGAGACAACCAAAGTGTCCTTTGATAGAGTATTAGATAAAGATGTAGTACGTATATACTATGGAATATTACTCAACCATAACAAAAGATGAAATTGTACCATTTGTGACAACATGGATGGACCTTGAGAATATTATGCTCAGCACAATAAGTCAGTCAGAAAGAGCTAAGAACCATATAATTTCACTCATGTGTGGGATATAAAACTGAAACTCATAGACACAGACAATAGTATGGTGGTTATCAGAGGGAATGGGATTGGGGTATAGTAAAGGGTAAAGGAGGCCAAAATATATGGTAACCGGAAATTATTTTACTTCGGGTGGAGGACAGACAATGCAATATAGGGATCATGTATCATAGAAATATATACTTAAACCCTTATGATCCTATTAACCAATGTTACACCAATAATTTAATTTTTTAAAAATGGGCAGAAGAACCCTGGCTAGTTTGGCTCAGTGGTTGGAGCGTTGGCCTGCGGACCAGAGAGTCCCAGGTTCGGTTCCCGCTCGGGGCATGTACAAAAAAAAATGGGCAGAGATCTGAATAGACATTTTTCCAAAGAAGACATACAGATGGCCTGTATATTTATCCAAAGAAAACAAAAACACTAACTGGAAAAAATATATGCACTCCATGTTCATTGCAGCATTATTTATAATAGCCAACTTATGGAAACAACCTAAGGGTCCATCAATGGATGAATGAATAAAGAAACTGTGAGACACATATGTATAATGAAATTGTTTATATATATAATATGGAATCTTTTTTTTTTAATCCTCACCTGAGGACATTTTTCTTTTCTTTTCTTTTTTTTGTCTAGATAGAGTGGGAGGGAGAGATAGGAAGAGAGAGAGAAACATCGACCTGAAAGGGACACATCAAGTGGCTGCCACCCACACGACCCAACCAGGGCCAGGGACAAACTGCAACCGAGGTACATGCCCTTAGCGGGAACCGAACCCAGGTTTGTCGGGACTGCAGGCTGACGCTCCAACCGCTGAGCCAAACCAGCCAGGGCTATAATATGGAATCTTATTCTGCCTTAAAAAGAATGAAATCCTGCCATTTGTGAAAACCTGGACAGGACTCAAGGGCATTATGCTATGTGAAAAAAGTAAAATAGAAAAAGACAAATGATCTCTCTTATAGGTAGAATCTAAAAAAAGAAAAATCAAGGTCATAAATACAGAGAAAAATTGGTGTTTGCCAGAGGCAGCAGGTAAAAGAGTGAAAGAAATGGGCAAACTTTTTTTTTCCACTTTAAATAAATTGGAAAAATATTTGAAAAAAATTAAAAAATAAATTAAAAATGGTATTTTAAAGGACTATTAAATGACATAGGAAATACTCATAAATAGTAATTGGAAAACTAGGATACAGAATCAGTATCATTCACTCTGCTACATGTACAAAAACAGAGGTAAATAATAATAGCACAACGATTATCTTTGGAGAGTGGGCAAAGTGATTTTTCTTTTCTTTTTTGATTTATTTTTATTATTGAGAGTATTATAGATGTCCCCCTTTACCCCCCTCAACCCAGCTCCCACCCGGCCCAGGCACTCACAGCACTGCTGTCTGTGTCCATGGGCTATGCATATATACATGTAAGTTCTTTGGTTAACTTCTTCCCACCTCTGCCCTTTCCTTCTGAGATCTATTTTCTACTCCATGCATTCATTTTCTTTCTCTTTTAAACATGTTTTTATTGATTTTTTTATAGAGAAGAGGGGGGAAGGAAGAAAGAGAGAGAGAAACATCAATGTGAGACAGAAACACCAATAGGCTGCCTCCTGCACACCCCCTACTGGGGATTGAGCCTGCAACCGTGACATGTGCCCTGACCAGGAATAGAACTGGGACCTCTCTCAGTCCATGGGACAACACACAATCCACTGAGCCACACCAGCCGGGCTTATTTTCTTTTTTATACCTCCCAGGAAAATTCTCTTCTAAGAGTAAATCAGAGTAAGTGATTAACATAAAAACTTAAAGATTCCTATCACAAAAGGGAATTCTAAAACAAATATAATTATAAGAAAATTTAAAAGTAACTATAATCCTACCATCTACTGTTGACATTTTTAATACAGCCAGTGCATATACACACAATACTGTTATAAATGGGAAAATAAAAGTAAACTCTCAGAGGATTAAAATCCATTAAAAACTTACTTTGTCATCCACTGAATTTTAAGATCTCGTAATGCTTCAGTAAACTCTTCCTTGAAATCTTTCTCTTTTTCTAAATCTTTTTCTTTATCTTTGCTGCCATTTTTAGTCTTTGTTGGTGGAGGTATTAGGTAGTAATGAACAGGGATTACATCCTATGAATGTGGAGAAAGAGTCTTAGATTAACATGCTTAATTTTACATATTTTAAAATCACCTTTAACAGATGAATATCACATAACATGGACTGTACCTAAGTTGTACTACATAGTATTCCAGACTCTAAGGCAGAGGTGGGCCTGCCAAAGGCCATTTAGATATTTATAACATCATTTGAGGCCCATACAAAATTATCGACTTAATAATTAGCCTGCTATATTTGGACAGGCTAATTTGGTGAGGCATGTGATGTTAGCTGGTATTGATTACACAGGCTTTATATGTTCCTCGGGCTGGACGTTCCCCACCCCTGTTCTAAGGCAACACAATACATAACAAATTCCAATCTGTAATCAAAGTAATTTTCTTCTCAACTTTAAAGTACCAATGCTTATACTATCTCCTTTAAAATAAGAGAGGTAAGCATAAACTTCTCTATGAATGTATTTGATATTTTTAGTTCTACCTGATAGACTAATTATAAAAATGAATTGAGCTTTGAACATTTTGTATCTGAGAAAGGGAAAAAGTAAGTTAGAAGAACAACAAAAAAGATCCTCTTTTTTTCCTAAGTAAATTTAAAGGAAATTTTCTTCCTTCAGTCAACAGGACTTATTGAGCCCCTTAATGTGCCACATGATACTCTGAGAGTTGAAGAACAAAGCAGACAAAGATCATTCTTGCCCTCAGGGAGCATATAGTCTAGTGGGGGAAGACAACAAACATATAGTAAATACAGAATACCAGATATTGATGCATGATATGAAGAAAATAAGCCTGCTAGGTAAGGTGGGGGAACCACTGTAGACAAAGTGATTATGGAAAGCCGCTCTAAAGAGGTATCATTCAATCTAAATAAACCTAAATGACCTAAAAGAATGAACCTCAAATAAACAAGGAGAGGGAGAAGTGTCTGAAGGTAGAAGATGAGCATGTGCAAAACCCTGAGCTTGGCCTGGCCGGTGTGGCTCAGTGGTTGAGCGTCGACCCATGCACTTGTAGCAAGAGGTCGCCAGTTTGATTCCCTGGCAGGGCACATGCCCAGGTTGTGGGTCCAATACCCAGTGGGGAGCATACAGGAAGCGGCAATCAATGCTCTCTCTCACTGATGTTTCTGCCTCTCTCTCCCTCCTCTCTCTTCCTCTCTCTCTCTGAAATCAGTAATAAAAAAAAAAAAAGTTAAAAAAAACCCTGAGCTTGGTACATGGGGAGCACAGCCGTATGTACTGAGCAAATGGGCAGCAACCATATTAAGTAGGGTTGATAAAATATAGTTAAAAAAGAAATCCCAGATTTTATTCTAAGTGCAATAGGAAGACTACCAGAAGTTTTATGCAAGGCAGTGACATGACTAAAGATTTTTACTTTTTGTTTAATGACTCGGAATCCTGTATGAATTAAAAGTTTTGGTTTGTTTTTAATAATTCTTGATTCTATTTGGAGAATGGATGATAGAAGGCAAAAGTAGAAAAAAAGAAAAACAAGTTAGGAAGCGAACCCAGACATGCCAACACTGTCTTGAACTGTAAAACAGGCTGTAGAAAAGAAATGAGTAGATTCAAGATTTTCTGTGAAGGTGGAACCAACAGTTCTTATTGATGATGTTTAAAACTAGGGGATGAGTGCTCGCTACAGCAGCACTTACACTAGAATTGGAACGATACAGAGAAGATCAGCAAGGCCCCTGCGCAAGGATGACATGCAAATTCATAAAGCAGTCCACATTTAAATAAATAAATAAAACTAGGGGGTGAGTAGAACTGGTAGGGATGGGGGATGGGGAAAAGTGAGCCCAGGACTTGGTCCAAAGCATTCTACTATCTAGATGCTCTGTGAGAGAGACAGAATTCAGAGAGAATCTGAGGTCATGGCAGCCCTGAGAAAAGCCAGTGTGAAAGAAGAGAGGTCAGCTGACGCCTGTAGCTGAGCGGTGACGTAAGACAGGAGAATGAAACAACTGGAAAGCCTGACAGCAGTGGCTGATGATCATCACAAGACCAGTTTCAAGGGGACAGCAAAGGCTGACTTTTAAGAAAGATAAAGACAGATCAAGTAAACAAATACAGATCTTTTGAAAAGTCCGGCTTTGTAGAGAGCAGAGAAATGTGCAATTATATCAAATTATGTCTATTTCTGTCTATTTTATTAAAACATATATCTTTACTTATGAAAAGTAATGCATTATCTGGGAATCAAATCATTATACATTATATTTACTAGTTCTGTTTTCAGCATAATAACTAGGTGTCCTTAATTAAATAATCATTTATTAAGTCAATTTCTCAAATCCTATCTCTAGGTTTACATTTAAAATTCATCTAAATTAAACTCTTATATTTGTTTTCATTTTTTAAAATTTCTAAAACGGGATCAAGTTATGTTATCAAAAAGACTTTTACTGCTCTAATCACAGTAACTTAAAAAAATCTTTACACTGATTGAGTTAAAAAATAGTATTGCAAGCCCCCACCTTCCCCAAAATAGGTTTTTTTTTAGCTATAAATACTACATAAATATGGCCATTTAAAATGTTCACAATTAAACTTCATTTTGGGGTATAATTATAACACTAAATATAAGGAACTACTGTTATAGTTGTTCTAATAGTATTCCACCATAAAATAATTACAATTTCAATATGACTCATTTTAAGCACAAAAAAACACTGATGGGAAATAACCACACAAATCCATTTTTAGCCATTTAGGTGCCTCCCTCCCTCCCTCCCTCCCTCCCTCCCTCCCTCCCTCCCTCAGGTCAGGAAGCTAGAGCCTGCACATAACGATCTTATGTGAAATGTGAGACAGAGAAAAGAAATCAGGTATTTTGCTGGGGCTAGCTCCTTCTGGACCCTGCCACCACCCTTTTCTCCTTCTTGAGGTTCATTTTCCTAGGTGGGTACTGCCCTGGACAAAGCCAAGTGTCTGCAAAATTTGAGTTGATAATTACTAACAAGTTCTTATCTGAACAGATTGCTTCAGTGTCATCTTTATAGCAAAGACAACAAACCTAAGTAAGAATTAAAGGTATGAATGGCCTCCAACCATTATTCTTCTGTTCTCTTTGGGATCACACTTCTGTACTATCCAGTATACTAAAATGTGAATGACACTTGCCTGGAGGAGGAACTTGGCAGTCCACATTCACTCTAACCTGAGCTCCCCTAGTTTTCCCTCCTCCTTGCCTGATTAGGGAAAGACACAAACTTCCAGATGGGAAGCCTCTGTTGTGGGCCAACTCCTCCTCTGAAGCTCAGAGGTAAGGTATTTGCTATTATGCTTTAGCACAGAAAAGAGAAAACAGAACTGAATTTAAAATAAACAATCCATTAAAGTTAATTTATGATTAACAATAAACTCTTAACAAAGATTTATAAATAGGAAGAAATCCTATATCACAGCAACCATAAATTATCACTAAAAGCACAAAAGAGACAGGAAAAGTTTAAGATGAATTAGAAGGGAGAAAATCCAGGTTTCATAATCAGCCTTTTATGTTAAATATATCAAATTAGAAATTATAAATGTTAATATAATCTTATAAAGTATATCAGCACAATTTTTTATTACTATGAATTATGAACATGTTAGTTTTAATTCCTAATCAAAAGAAAAATGAAGTTATTCATGGTCATCTGTTCTTTTTGACAGTATTTTCACATTATTCTAAGGACTCAGCATAGGGTCAATTTAATAAAAATTATTTTGTACCAGTAAATCTTGGAAAATCTTGATTATAAGTTTAAAACAGAGTCAAGAAGAATCTTCAGAGCAGAAATGCTAAAGTTCTCTATAATGGCTACTTAAGAGTAAGGTTTTTTTTTTTTTTTTTTTAATGTATCATTCCCGCCACTCACAAAGTATTTCACCAGTGTTTGAATTGAATGGTATTATTTAGAAAGTCACACTTATCCACAAAATCAGTAACTAACTATTCTTTGGGTGATATAACATACCATCATTAAAATTTTGGGTAAAAAAAAACAACTTCCTTAGTTCTTAAATTATTAACAACTAAATTCAAAATTGTAATACATTTACACAAACTAAAATAGCTATTTTAAAGAATAATATATTTGAATGCTATTTATAATCTATTTAAAGTAACCATATATTCTTTCATATTACAATGAGCTTAAAAAAGTGTAACACATTTTCAAATCAAAAGTCACTGAAACCCAGAGACCAAGTCCACAGAAAAACCTAGTTGGTGTTTTGTCCAGGCAATAAAGTAGTAATGTATTTTAGTTATATGACTATAAATCTGTAATAATAATTATTTTTAAAATAAGAGCTTCATGTGTACTTGCACTGGAGAGAGAGAGAAATGAGAAAAGGTAACTCTAGCTGCCAAGTTCTTTTTACAAAGCTTTACTAACCATCAATAATAATTTTTCTATTCATTTGATAGTTTTCTATCTCATACAACCTAATCCAAACAAAATCCACCACAACTCCCCAAAGCTCAAGAGAAATATACAAGAGGAAGAAGAAAAATAAATTTATGCCTTTGTGATATGTATCTTCTATTTTTAATGGGCTCCTAGAATACCTTTTCCTCATTCTCTAAAGCAGTGGCTTGCAAGCTATTTTCACACTGACCCAAAGACAGACAATCTATACATAAAAGTGAAATTACAGTTTTATGAGTCGGGTGAACTGACATTTCCTACTTTATTCTGTTTTTGCTTTAAAGCTGGTTATATTTCATAAATGAATGTACAAGGCCCACCAATGGGTCAAGAAGCGCAATTGAGAAATACTAGTCTATAGAGGAGCAGATTCTTAAAATATTTTTTTTCTTCTTCACTGATTTCAGAGAGAGAGGAAGGGAGAGGGAGAGACAGAAACATTGATAAGAGAGAACATCGACTGGCTGCACCTCCTGCAATGTCCCCACTGGGGACTGGGCCCAAACCTGGGCATGTGCCCTGACTGCCTGACGAATCGAACCGCCAACCTCTTGGTGTATGGGTCGACACTCAACCACTGAGCCACACCAGCTGGGCAAATATTTTTTTAATCTGGAAACGCTCAGCTGGTGTGGATCGCTGGTTGCACCAGGAAGTCACTGGTTTGACTCCCGGTCAGGGCACATGCCCAAGTTGTGGGCCCAGTCCCCAGTGGGGGCCATGCAGGAGGTGGACAATCAATGCTCTCTCTCATTGATGTTTCTCTCTCTCTCTCTCTCTCTCCCCCCCTCTCCCTCTCCCTCTCTCTAAAATCAATAATGAAAAAAATATATATTAAAAAAAAATCTGGAAAGGTGATTACCAGTAGTGTATTCTGTTTGAACAAAGTATTTATCATTACATGATAATTGGACATTTCAGAGGTCTTTTTAATAAATAAATTTCACCTATTATAAAATGGTCAGCCCGTTTCATATCAAACAAAGAGGTATCTTTTGTTTATACCTTAAAGTACTAATTCTCCCACAGCAAAAGCTTCCTGCTTGAACTAAAAAAATCACTAAATGATAAATGTCAGCAGGTTTTCACCAGAGAGCTCATCTCTCTCTCTCAAGTACACCTGAAGCAGAATTTTTCTCTTTTGAGTTAACTTTGGCTCCAGAATTTAATCAGAGACTGTCAAATAAGTTACAGAAAAGTTGATCAGATTACTTGCTAATATATGGTCTGAAAATTTACTTATGCTCTTATTGTAAGTTTTAATTTTGGGTCAACAGTCCTTATTTCTGTTCTTGCTTTGTCCATTGCTGTTTGTCTCTGCCCTTTAAGAATATGCAAGAGCAAGGAATAAACTTCACTTGAAATACCTTAATAATATTTTTAAACCAAATCGTCCAATTTAAGAATTCTTTAGACTTTAAAAATAATTGTTTGGCCTATCTATGTAGCTGAAAAAAATCATATTCATCTCTTTATAGGATTTTAGATATGCAAAATTTCAAATAGTACTCCTTATCTATAGTAAGAAATAAATAGCATTAATTTCTATCTATCTATATATATAAGACAGGGGTCCGCCAGCAATTTATGGTAGGAAAAGTAACTTTAGGAAAGCAGTATGCCAACACTGATAAGCTAAAAGCACTACACTGCAGAACTTAAAGAAAGGAAACTAAGGGAGAGACTTAAAAAAAAGATTTATAATAGTGACAGAAAAAAAAAATTTAACTAATATGCAAATAAGGCTTTAAAACATCTTTTTAAAGAACTGACAATCAGTACCTTTTTAAATTTTCCTTGTCGTTTTGCTGCAGACTGGCCCTGGGAGTTAGAACGACATTCTGTAAGAAAACATGCATCATCTACACAGGATGGAGACACCACCTCTGTCTAATTTTCTCCCAGTTTACATTCCACCTGTATGTGTCACAGTACTTAGAAGGGTCAGGTCTGTGATCAAGATGGCAGGTTTTTAAAGAAAGCAACATTGCCACTTCTGTTTTTTAATGAAAATGCACTCAAATGTTATTCCTAAGGGCGAATGATTTTCAATTTATTTTGAAAGTTTAGTAGAGCAAAATCCATTAGTTATCAAAACACTTTTGTAAGCATTAAATTTAGCTGACAGTCTACAGGGACTGATTTTTAAGGACATCACAACAATCACACACAACAAATGCACTCTTAGAAAAAGCTTCACTCAAGTCAAAGAGAAGTAAAAATGAACCTTCCCAACTACCAAAAATCATAAGAAATATAAAACTACTGAGGGAAGAGTAAATAAACAATGTCTTGGGAAATATAATTAACTCTATAGTTTTAGGTTCTTGCTCTCAAGAAAATCTAACCTGATAAGTAATAACTACAGTTAATTCCACATGTTTATAACTTCACAACTGCCTCTAAAAGAATGCAGCTAGGAAGTAGTAATTATCTCTGATTTGCTAAAATCATACTTTTCAATTGATTTTTTTTTAGAGAGGGAAGGAGGGAGGGAGGGAGAAAACATCAATTTGTTGTTCCACTTATTTGTGCATTCACTGGTTAATTCTTACATGTGGCCTGCCAGGGATCGAACCCACAACCTTGGTATGTCAGGATGATATAAAAACATCCTTTTAATAACAATGCTCTTCTGTCATAGTCATCACAAGGACGTGGACACTTCAAAATAGTTATCTGGATGTGAACCTCATTGCTGAAGCCCCATGAGGAAGCAGCAATGATACCCAGGAAATGAAGTCAACAAGAAAAGCCTATAAGGACTTCTTAAATCAGTCCATGAATTCCAAAACAACGGGAATTCCATGAATTCCAATAATTCCAATACAATCCATGAATTCCAATACAATTAACTAGTCATTCACTTCAAATCATACTAAAGAATATCAAAATAAATAGTATAGACTGAAATGAAACTCAAGAAATGTCAAAAGTTTGAAACAACTTTTCAAAGCACAAAATTCCTAAGTTATGCCTCTATAAACGCAAATAAATGATCTTTGGTTCAACAGTGATAAGAAGTAAGTATGCCTGTTAAGATGTATAAGATCTATTCATTTGATAACAGCATTTATAGATTCCAGCATCGGGTGGTAGGCTTAGTTTGTAAGAACTAATGCTAAAGAGAAATACAAAATTGTAAGAATGATAACTTTTACTAGCACTGAGCTAAAATGATATGACAAAAGGTGGCAGAGCTATATAAACACTATTCTCCTAATAAATTTGTAATGAAAAGATAGAAAAGCTAAAACAGGTAGTTATCTAACTCTAATATTTATCTCTAAAATATAACCAGAAAAATGTTTTAAACAAAAAACCCCGTAATTTTGAAACTACAAAATAAAAGGCAATGCCAAAAGAAATACCTTGTAATTATCAACACAATTATGTACAAGTCCAACAAGAGAAAGGTCTGTTAAAAATATCGTTCATTAGTAATAATCTTTCTGACTAGTTTTTAGAAGTAACCCCAAAAGATCCACTATTACATTGGTTAAAATTTTACAAAGTGCTTTAACTTTAAACATTCCATTTATTTAAACCAAGTTTAATTTATATGTATGTTTCATGGGAAATTCAAGTATATTAGCCATGTAAGGTAGAACTGGTTCAGGGACAAAGTAACTTAAGCATGGGAAAAAGAATACTAAATATTTTAAAATATAAGCAAATATTAATTGACCTCTACAAGTAACTTGGTAGGAAAAAATTATAATTTCTTTCTTCTTTTTTTGCCAGGGAGATCTTCTCTTTTACCCATTCTGAAAAGTGGAATTAATCCCCATCTTTAAAGAAAAGGAAATTTTAGAATAGGTAATTTCAGTGTCAAAAAAAAAAAGCAAAAACTAGTACTTACAGCTTTCTTTCCAAGTTCAGTCTTTGACAATGTTAAGGACCCTGCAAGGTAGCATCCAGGTCCTGCCCCTTTAGGTATTCTAACAAGAAGATTCAAAAGAGAAAAAAAAAGAGAGAGAGAGAAAGTTTCACAATTAGGGATGGGGTGGGGTGGGATAAAACAATTGCATTCTGAAATTTCCATAACTAAGATTTCAAAAATCAGAGGGAGAAAATACCTTAGTATAAAATGGTCAATGACAACATACTATAAATTTAGCCCAATGTAATGAACTAGCATTAACAGACTACAGTGTGTAAGATGGGCATTACGTGTAAGCAACGTCATCACTTACTTGTCATCAGGTAAGGAAGTAACAAAGAATGGCTGGTTATATTTGGGTGGCAGTGTCAAATTACTCGATTTCTTCTTTCCTAGAAGTGCAAGACTATGATTTTCATGAATATCTAAGCTCAAGGTATTAGATAACCTATGAGAAACAATAAATGGAAGATCTTTAAGACGTTCCAAATCACTGATTTGCTCATGACGAATCTGTAGTCGAATTGTATAATCTCCTTTCTCCAATTTCATAGAATACTAAAAAAAAAAAATTAGAAAAAGTAAAGTTTAGCCAAGTAACCAGAAATTATAGAAAGAGGATAAATAGAAATAGTTACGACTTAGAGTGCTCACAGTAGATGAGGTACAGTGCCAGTTACTACACACAATTTACATACACACAAAATCCCAATCAAGCAGGACCAGGGACATCAGTGAACTGTCCAAGATCACATATAGGGTAGTAAAGGACAAGGGAGCTAAAAGCAGGTCTGACTCCCAAGCCCTCATTCTTCCCACAACTGCAGGCTACTCACTCCCCATATTCTCAGCTAAATCAGTCTGTTCCAGGCTGAGAAAAGCTATGTTTTCTAGTTCATGGTTACTCAAGAACATATAAAACAACATCCAAAATTAGCAGAATTGAGGTGCCATATAATATCTAAGACAGATATACACACGTATGTATACACATGACCAGTAATCTTTCTATTATAATCAAAATGCCACATTGCTTTATTGCTGATAGAAGCCAACAGAGATCAAGGAATATAAATCTACTATGCTCCACCTAGTTAACCTGCTAGAGAAGATGGAATGCTGTATTCTGCATCAGCAGTTTCTTCTGATGAGATTTTTTTTGTTGTTGTTCAGGTAGAGTGGGAGGGAGAGAGAGGAACAGAGAGAGAGAGAGAAACATCGATGTGAAAGGAACACATCGAGTGGCTGCCACCCGCACGACCAACCAGGGCCGGGGACAAACTGCAACCGAGGTACGCGCCCTTAGCGGGAACCAAACCCGGGTCTCTCCAGACCGCAGGCCGATGCTCTAACCACTGAGCCAAACCGGCCAGGGCTCTGATGAGATTTTAAAAGCAACTGAAGTGCCCTGGCTGGTTTGGCTCAGTGGCTGGAGCATCGGCCTGCGGACCAGAGAGTACTGGGTTCAGTTCCCGCTAGGCCATAGTGGCTAGGGGCACATACCAAGAAAAAAAAAAAAGCCTTGGCCAGTTTGGCTCAGTGGTTAGAGTGTCGGCCTGTGGTCCAGAGAGACCTGGGTTTGGTTCCCACTAAGGGCGCGTACCTCGGTTGCAGTTTGTCCCCGGCCCTGGTTAGTCATGTGGGTGGCAGCCACTTGATGTGTCCCTTTCACATCGATGTTTCTCTCTCTTTCTCTCTTCCTCTCTCTCCTTCCCACTCTATCTGAACAAAAAATGAAAAAATTTCCTCGGGTGAGGATAAAAAAAAATAATAAAAATAAATAAATAAAAGCAACTGAAGTGCCCGGCCAGTATGGCTCAGTGGTTGAACATCGACCTATGCATCAAGAGGTTGCTGGTTCAATACCTGGTCAGGGCACAGGCCCAGGTTGTGGGTCTGGTCTCCAGTGGGGGGCATGCAGGAGGTGGCCAATCAATGTTCTCTCTCATCAATGTTTCTATCTTTCTCTCCCTCTCCCATCTTCTCTCTCTAAAAATCAAATCAATAAATAAAAAAAATTAAAAGCAACCAAAGTAATGGTTCTGCAATAACCCAGTCTGTACTAGAGAGGGCTTGCTTTGAGAACAAAAGGAAATCATTCCTTGAATGACTAACAAAAAAATATCTTGCATACATCATTTTCATTATTAGTATAAAATTATAAATGTTGTAGGATTTACATTATTTCCTTGTAACTATTTTAATCAGGGATAAAATTTCTGTAACTTATGATTAAAAGGTTTTTTCTTCAATACAATAATGCTAAGCACAGTACTTGGCATACAGGAAGTGTTCAATACACAGTTGTCCAACAAAAACATAAATTTGAAAGTTCTAATAAACTGAACACTGGGCACTACTATAGTGTTCTTTATCCAGTTAAGACCTAGAATCATTTCTAGGTGCTCACATATATAAGATGATTTGTTTTCAACCTTCAGATGGTTGGAAGCAGTGGGTGGGAAGGAGAAACACTAAAAATAAAAAGCTATGCTGGCCAGTGCTTATGTCATCCAGGCCCTCATCTACCTCAAAACTTAATTCAGCTGAAATACTTGGCTGAAACGTTGTCACGGTCTGTTCTACAACAGACAATTGAGCTTCTAGTGATGTGTCAAAGTACTAGATGCAAAACTATGACATTAAACACACACACACACACACACACACACACACACACACCCAATAATATTACAATAAGAAAACATAAAGAATTTTTTAGTTCAAAAAATGGCTTCTATTAATTCTAAAAACCACTGCCAAGTTCATACCTGATGTGGATAGGCATCGCCTGAACCCATCTGTCTTTTATTCTGGTCAAATATGATCCATAATTGGCTGTCAAATTCTGACTCATATAATAATTCACAAAGTAGTGGGCAGCTTGGAGTCACTTCCCCACTTTTGGGCTATAAGAAAAAAAAGAATTCTAATGCAGATTTGTAATATAGTTATTGATGAGACTTTTCCATTGAAATTATTAAAATATTTTCTTGTGGTAGCCAATTTAAAAAATGTAGAACACCCAGTATTTTGACATTAATACTGATACTTCTCTTTTATAGACTTTTAAAAATACAAACCTAGACAGCTGTATTCATTAATAAAGCAATATATATTTTCTTTATAAAAGTGAAATTTCATAATTTAATGAAATCAATCATCTCCCAAACATTAAAACCAAATACTATGTTTCAATGAGTTTTACTGAAATCTATGGATCCTACAAAACTCTCTGATCCAACATTTACACTGGCCTCAACTACTATTACCACTCTTTCAACCTAGGAATTATTCTAATGTCTCACTGCTCCAAAGCCTGCTATACAGAAAGCGAACAGGACAACTACTACGTAACCAGAAAGCATCTGGCACTGATGAGACAGCTAACCTCTGAACAGGTAATATTGGACAGGTACCAATGATTAGATTCAGTGATTACAAAAACTAAGAATCAAAAGCCAGGTCACCTCAAATTAGAATTTGTAACTTCAGACTTGAATGGTACTTAGATGGTACTATGATCATTATAAATAATTATTACAAAAAATAATTCCAAATTAACCAATTACTTAATTCTATTTCATATATACACAATGAATACACCATCCTTCCATTTTAAATTCATAAACAAAACACTATATAAGTATATTTTATTATAAAGACACTCACTTGATGAAAGTTATATGTAAGGATCATCTCATAAAGTTGACGATTATTTGGCAAAACATCTCTTGATCCTAAAGGTTTTGTTTTTGCACTCAGTGGACTGTAATGAGACAATTCATAAATGACTTTATTCAAGAATTCATTTAATGAGACAAATATAACTATAATCAACAAAATCTATAAAATATCACGTGACAAATAAGTATTCCTAAACACTGTCCTTTTCAGTATATTTTGTAATTTTTTTTTATCCTCACCTGAGAACATTTTTGCATTTATCTTCAGATAAAGTGGGAAGAAGAGAGGGAAGAAGAGAGAGAAACATCGATGTGAGAAAGACACATCGACTGGCTGCCACCCACACAACCCCATGGGGTTGGGGACAAACTGCAACCAAGGTACATGCCCTTAGCGGGAACTGAACCCGGAACTCTCTTGTCCGGGGGCTGACGCTCTAACTGCTGAGCCAAACCAGCTAAGGGCATTTTTGTAATATTTTAATCATTAACTTACCTAAGTCTTTACTGACTGAACCACAGCAATACATATTATAGTTTAAAATTTGTAATTACAAAGGTAATCTTTTCATGATAAAAACATCTTCAAATATAAACTAATAGCCCTTAATATAATCAGATCCCAATGCTGGGGCAATTGCTAACAGTGTTGAAGGATAGGTTTTGCCTGGCACTCACTCCTCACAGGATAGGTCCTGCCAGATGCTCTGAAAATTTTACATACATGTTATCTAATGCTTGAAGCCACTGCCTCTCAGAGACCTGCCAGGATTCCAAAGTGTCATAAACTGAATTTTCATCTCCAGCATTCGGGTGGATTTAAGAAAATGACTACCTCTTCAAAGAGTGTAGGCGATCCTCCCGCCCTCCACCATATCAATACTCAACATCTGTAGCCCTAAAACATTTAATAATACCGTAGTGTTTGGACCCAGCTCTTCAGAGTTATGCAGGGAGCCAGATCTTCATATTTCAAGGAGGACTGAACATCAAAACGGTTGATTCCTTCCGATGCATGCTATAAAGGATATTTATCAAATTAGTTTCTCAAACTTCACTGAAAATAAACTGTATTTTAAAACAATATTTGGACGTAAAATAAATGTCTAATGCAAAGTTTATAAGCACCCATGAATAGGACTACTTTCAGTGGTTATTTTCAGAACTACAGGCAATTTTCTCAATGAACTTTAAATCCAACCATTGAGATTATTTTTCAATAACACAAATAAATGACATTAAAAATAATGAAAATGCAGAACTCACAATGTTTAACTGAGGAGTAGTACACACTATCCCATGGAAAGAAATGGTATAATCAATATTGACATCACTAAGACTTGCCCACCAACGAGCAATGCAAAATTCTATTGCTTTCCCACTCTGCAAAGAAAGAGAAAATTACACATGTGTAAATAATCTTTGTTTTCTATTTCTTTCAAATTATAGAATATAAACAGTAGGTGTTTCAAAGCAATTCTATGCTTTCAAACTTTTCCTGTTTGTACTGGAGTTATGCAAATTACAGTTGCAGGGTTATAATGTAGACATTTAAAATACAGTCATTTACTTATAACGCTACATTGCTTGTCATAAAAGATCTAAGGCAGCTTTTGAAACACATACAACAAAATAATGGTGAAAACTAACTGGAATAAAAACCTAGGACCAAAGGAAAAATAATGACAGGAGAAAAGTTATTACAGCTTTATAAGGCATATTCAATAGCCACAGCTGAGTTTCAGGCTCACAGCTGCCTGGCAACCAAAATAAAATGAAATAAATTATGGTCACTTACGTCCTTCTGCCTATCAAAATAATGAAAACCAAAAACGATTCTTAGTACTCAGTTTTTGTTTGTTCGTTGTTAATCCTCGCAAGAGGATATTTTCCATTGATTTTTTTCAGATAGAAGGGAGGAAGAAAGGAAGAGAGAGAAACACTGACATGAGAGAGACACATCGACTGGTTGCGTCCCACACAATCCCAGCCGGGGCTAGGAATTGAGAACCTGCAAACCAGATATGTGCCCTTGATCGGGAATCAAACCTGCAACCCTTTGTTCTGCAGGCCAACACTCTAATCTAGAAATCAGTACATTAGAAAATTTAAAGATGAATTATAACACTGATACATACATGAACACAAGTGAAAGTAATCAGAAACATAAGATACAGGAAAGATCATATGACTAACTGGAAACACAACGTAGCAAGTTTAAGAAAGTAAGTCAGTGCATTCACCTTCTATGGAGGAAGGTCTAGTCATTATTTCTAACACTACAGGTAAGAATGGAGATCTGCCATTTTTGAAGTAATTTCTGTAGGAAGCAGTAGCAGTTTCACCTAGAAAGCAAATTAACCTCATGGATTCTTTACAACAGTGCAGTAATAAAATAACTTAAGTGACTTGTAGAACCACCTTAAATGATAAAATAATCTACTGTGGGATGAAGAAACAGTATCAGTCAGGGTCCCCAATGCAAAGTGCCAGTATCTGTCAGACCAGCACTTTCCTTTGACTAAACTATTTCAGAGTTAAAAAGGGATCAATATCTACCTCAGACTCGGTCTCAAGTATCCTAAATTAGACTACCTATCTCCCTACTTCGTTGATTTGGCATTAATATATACAGCCCCAATAAACTCTGAATATGAACTATAAAATCAAATTCAAATACTTAGTCCACACCAAAAAATGAAGAGAGAGAGTTTCAGGATTTTGAACTATTAATTAAAACTTACTAAGACAGGAAAAGCCTCAGTCAGTGTTCCTTTTTCTGGAAGGGAACAAAACTTATAGAATTCATGGCTTCGATACGCTCTTTGCTTCACAAGCTGTACCGCGTGAAGAACAAACTTGGCCGACACCTCAGAAGAACAAGAACACACTGTAACTTCTAAAATGAAAAAGAAGCAAAATTTTAAACTGATAAAATTTAAAATGGACATAAAATGGTGTAAAGAATGCCAATTTATTAGGAAATAATGTATCAATAATAAAATTATATATTCAAAGAAAATCTGCATATTTCCTTAAAAACAAAGAATCATAGAGTATTAATAAAGCTGAATGGGTAGAAGATTCAGCTACGGAAAATAAATCAGTATTAAAATAAACAACCACAATGCTGCAAATACTATGAAACAGCAAGTTTTCCATAGGTGGACACGCAATTGTCCTAATCAGGCACCTTTTAAAATCATTCTCCCCTCTGCTAAGTGCAAACTTTCCTCTTGTTTTAGTCAAAAGCCAAGTAAATCCTGATAAACTAAAAAGGATTTTAATTTTAGAAAACTCTATTTGTCATCATGCTTAATTAAATTCCATTAGTATCTATTCAACGTCATTGATAACTTTTCCTAGTCTCTCCCCCTTGGTTGATTTGTGTCCTGTTTGCTTCTAGAAGGAATAATGTCAGAACTACATATGCTTAGCTTTATTCTGAGGCAGATGTAAAGGTAAGCCCAAATCACTGTGAAGCAAGATCAGCAGCTTATCTATTGAATACCCACTGTAATACAGGGAACTAAGCCAGGCTTAATTCTCTGGTTCTCAAGGTCAAGTTGGCACAGAGCTCTGTGAACCTAATCAATTGCTAATAATACAACATCTGGTATTATAACAATATTTCTCATTATTTGAAATAGAAATCATCTGTAATACTATTCTTTATTTTTCAGTCTAACCCCCACTCTCCACCTGAGATCAAATTGACAAACAACACTGTACAAGTTTAAGGCATACCATGTGATGATTTGATATACGTATACATTGTGAAATGTTTACCACAATGAGGTTAGTTAACACATACATCACACTTACCAATTCTTTCAGGAGTGAGAACACTTAATATCTAATCTCTTAGCAAATTTCAAGTATACAATAGAGTATTGTTAACTATATATTAAATCCATTGAATTTACTCATAACTGAAAGTTTGTACTCTCCCCATGTCCTCCACTCCCTGGTAGTACATTTCTAATCTGAGAATGTTACATGTTCTGATCTACTTCCATTCTGGATCACCTGATAAATCCTTATTAAAAATAGATAAATAACCTAATTATTTTCAACACCGGCCTAAACAAATCATAATTAGGGCATTATAATTACTAACATTCACCATTAAAAAGATTTCAGACTGAATATTAACCATTGATTTTTATTCTTTAAAATGAATAGTGTAGCCCTGGCCGGTTTGGCTCAGCGATTAGAGCGTCAGCATCAGCCGGTGGTGTAGAGAGACCCGGGTTCGGTTCCCGCTAAGGGCATGTACCTCAGTTGCAGTTTGTCCCCAGCCCTGGTTGGTCGTGCGGGTGGCAGCCACTCGATGTGTCCCTTTCACATCGATGTCTCTCTCTCTCTCCCTCCTGCTCTATCTGAACAAAAAATGTCCTCGGGTGAGGATAAAAAAAAATGATTAGTGTATACTTTATCAGAGCCTAACGTTAGCTATCTAGAAGGGGCTCTATGTGCGTGCACAGCAGCCCAGAGTTGTTTGACAGTGCAACTCTGACTTCATCACTACAACATAAGCTATTATTCTAAACTAAGTTAAAACCATGAACATGAAAACATCTTAAGATTGTCTATATGAATGGATGTATGAGCCAATGCAAAATAGTACTAGATCTTTAAAAAGTTTTGAATCTAATAGCAAATCTAGAGTGCCAGATATTGTACTGTTCTGAGAAAAATGTGCATAGAGATATATGAACTTTACATACTCATAATTATAAAAGATATAGAATGTACATAAAGATAAGCGCTCAAGACAGACTTTAATTTTACTTACCAGCCCATGTTGCACCCTCAGGAACCTCAATAAAATGCCTTCGAATTTGACCAGGCTTAAAATGTACATCTGTAAAGGCTACATCATAATGTGATGATTCATTTACTCTGAAAATTAATACAAATTAATGATTAAATGTGATACTCTTATAGAAAGGGCTTTATATTAATTATAAAAGCCCACTGGTACTCTAGATTTTAAAAGTTCATTTGAAATAAACTTAAAATAAGCCCTGGCCGGTTTGGCTCAGCGGTTGGAGCGTCGGCCTGCGGTACAGAGAGACCTGGGTTCGGTTCCCGCTAAGGGCCATGTACCTCGGTTGCAGTTTGTCCCCGGTCCTGGTTGGTCGTGCAGGTGGCAGCCACTCGATGTGTCCCTTCACATCGATGTTTCTCTCTCTCTCTCTCTCTCTCTCCCTCCCGCTCTATCTGAACAAAAAATGGAAAAATGTCCTCGGGTGAGGATAAAAAAAAAAAAAAAGAAAGAAAGAAATAAACTTAAAATAAACTGTTACAAAATAGTATGCATAATACAACCTCATTTTTGCAACATGTTAGCAGAGATAAACTCTGGCTAGCCCAGTATGAATGATTTTTCTACTTTGTCTGCTTTATAAGACACAAACTCAAAATAAGAAAGCTCACTTTTTTTCATTAAAGAAATTGTGCTGCATTCACAGAATTTCCCAATTACCAGAATCTAGGCTATAGTGAGTTCTAAATATTAAAATCAAAGGTAATGTTTTATGTTACTGATACTGATTATAGCTCTAAGACTGGTATTAAGTAAATCCCCTTTTATAGCTTCAAAATATTTCCATTCCATAATGACACAGTAAAGAAAGAAACTACTTTCATAGCATCTTTATAAGAAGTCAATGAAACATAAAGGGCTAATGTATATTTACCCATTATGAAAAGTACACGCTAAGGACAAATTCTAGTCAGTATGACAAAAATTTAATGAGAGTCTACTATATATAAGGCACTGTTATTAGAAGTCTGTACCACAGGCTTGTAAAAAGTATTGGGAAGCAGCAAGAAAGGACACCTTTCACCTGGGGATGACCAGGAACACGCCGGGTTGTTAAGAGACAGGAAACTGAAGCAAAGAAATCAGCTGTGCAAATGCACACAGTCCTGAGGAAACCCAGAGTGTCAGTGGAAATATGTAATCTGGTGTACAAATGACAGAAAACACTGGCTTGTAAAGGATCCTTGTTTGCTTTTTTAAGGAGCATAACTTGGTCCTTGAACATGTCACTGATATATTTAAACAGGAAGCAATATGATCAGACTTGAGCTCCTTGGTTCCAGGTGGAAGACAAGATGAAAAGCAAAAAGCCTGGAAATAGCAGGTGACTGGAAAAGTGGAAGAACCCGGACAAAATAGTAATCCTACAGAAAAGGGGTTTAAATGGAGTGGGGGGGTCGAAGAGGATGAAGTTATATAGCAAATGTTGCAGAGGGACTGGGCAAGATGAAGGCTAAGAGGTCCCCTGAATCGGGCAGTTGGAAGGGTACTGGCGTCCTGGTGGAAAGCAGTTTCAGCGCAGGGGCAGAGAACAGATGCCTTCACTTACTCTCACAGTGAACAAGGAGAAACAAGACTGACTATGTGCCAACTTGAACACTGAGCAGGGAGGAGAGTTAAAACCTGGTTTTCTGGTCTTGCCTATTAACCCTTTAGAAGTTCACATTATTTCCATAAATAGCCATTAAAAAATTCGGCAACCCTTGAACAACACGGAGGTTAGGGATGCTGACACTTAGAAGCATTAAAAAATCCATGTATAACTTTTGACTCCCTCAAAACTTAGTTGTCCCTCAGTATCCATGGGGGATTGGTTCCAGGACAACCCATGGATACCAAAACCTGCAGATGCTTAAGCCCCCTGTATAAAATGGTGAAGATCAGAGCAGAGTCAGCCTTCGGCATTTGTGGACTCCCAACCGCAGATGAAAAACAGTACAGATATTTACGGAAAAAATTCGCATGTAAGTGGATGAGCGCAGTTCAAACCTGTGTTGTTCAAGGGTCAGCTGTTACTGTGTAGGTGAGCTGTTGGTAACTTGTTACTTACTTTGCTGCTATAACTGCAGTGACTGGAACTCTGAACAGAGGACCTGCATTAGGGGATGCTATATCATAGCCACATACCTAAAACACAAAATGTTAAGTTTCAGTACCTATCAATAAACTTTTAACAGAGAAAAAAAGAAGAAAAAAGTGTCATCTATTCACGGAATAAATTAATCTAATATGAAAATGTAAAGGTACTAAGTTGGTCAATTTTCTGATGTGAGGTCACATAATTGATGGCAAATAGCCTAAACAAACACATGCAGGACAACCTTTGACTAATTCATACTAAATGGGAAAAAGACTGCCACAAAAAGTACTTTTAAACATTGTAAAGGTAAAAAAAGTAAAAAAAAGAAGAAGAAGAAACACCAATACCTCGGTATAATGTAATCCTTCTCTTAAGCCCCTGGGATCCACACGTATGTTTATGTGTCTACATTGATTCATGAGTTCCAAATGGCTAGGACACTGAACCCAAGATGAGTTTGAAGTTAAAGCTAAATGAAGCTGAAGGGATATTTTTTCAGAGTTTTCTGGCATTAAAAAAAACAAAAACACAAAAATTAATGATCAGTACTTTCTCTTTCATTTAAAAAGTTTCGTCTTCTCTCAAGAAAATTTAGCAAATGTGTAAAAGGCATTAGTCATGAGTTTTCAAAACACAGCTTACATAAAAATCACAGAATCTTTCTTATGCTTCAGTACACTTGTAATCCATTCATACTTTCTTTTTTTTTTTTATCCTCACCCGAGGACATTTTTCCAATTTTTGTACAGATAGAGTGGGAGGGAGAGAGAGAGAGAGAGAGAAACATCGACGTGAAAGGGACACATCGAGTGGCTGCCACCCGCACGACCAACCAGGGCCGGGGACAAACTGCAACCGAAGTACGTGCCCTTAGCGGGAACCGAACCCGGGTCTCTCCGGACCGCAGGCCAACGCTCTAACCACTGAGCCAAACCGGCCAGGGTTCCATTCACACTTTCAACCAACACTGCTACAGCCTTAAATTAATATAAGGAGTTTCTGTGGATATCTTTCATTACTAAATGTGGAAACAGCACTTGACTAACATGAAGACGGCCAAATATACAGTGATGACTCTTTTGTTTACCCCACCGAACTGAGGTTCTCTCTTGGCTGCTTCTACTTCCCACTGTCTTATACTCAAGTAATAAAAAGTGGGAAAGAGCCCTGGCCGGTTTGGCTCAGCGCTTGGAGCGTCGGCCTGCGGTACAGAGAGACCCGGGTTCGGTTCCCGCTAAGGGCACGTACCTCAGTTGCAGTTTGTCCCCGGCCCTGGTCGGTCGTGCGGGTGGCAGCCACTCGATGTGTCCCTTCACGTCGATGTTTCTCTCTCTCTCTCTTCCTCTCTCTCCCTCCCGCTCTATCTGAGCAAAAAAAAAAAGTGGGAAAGAGCCCTGGCCAGTTTGACTCAGCATTTAGAGTGTCGGCCTATGGTCCAGAGAGACCCGGGTTTGGTTCCCGCTAAGGGCACGTATTTTGTCGGTTGCATTTTGTCCCCGGCCCTGGTTGGGTCGTGTGGGTGGCAACCACTCGATGTGTCCCTTTCACGTGGATGTTTCTCTCTCCCCCTCCCACTCTATCTGAACAAAAAATGGAAAAATGTCCTCGGGTAGGATTTAAAAAAAAGTGGGAAAGAAATGGAACTTGATGACTTATCGACAATTTAATAAAAATGTAGGTCACCGATGACCCATTCTGCTATTTTTCTCAGTAGTCAGAATGCTAACTGAATTGCCATAGTATTGGAATCACTAAGTCCCATCATCTTTTACCTAAAATTTATAAGATTTAAAATAATAATACTGTCCCCTGGCCAGGTGGCTCAGTTGGTTGGAGCACAGCAAAAGGTTGTGGGTCCGATTCCCAGTCAGGGCATATACCTAGGTTTTGGGTTCAATCTCTGTTTGGGTAAGTACCAGAGGCAACTGATTGATGTTTCTTTCTCTCTCTCTCTAAAAATCAGTAAAAACATACCCTTACATGAGGATTTAACAAAATAATAATAATATTAGTGATAATGATATCATCAGTTCATGCTTTCTCTTTACAATGTTAGCTCAAACCGCATCTCTCTATTATGATACTATTCACTCAAACCATAAATGTGAGAACACTTCGGCTTAACATTCATTTATTACTTACCAGTATTTTCTGGAAATACAGGTTCAATGCCAACACCATGATCTGAAGGTGCAGCCACCTGAACAGGATCTCGGAGGTAGATGCCACGGTTATTTCCAATGGTAACAGTGAAACCTAATTTATTAGCAAATGATGTATTCTGAATGAGGTAGTCATAGGCTTTATCAACCTAATTATAAAAACACAAAGAATAAGATATAAATGGTTAGGTAAAGAAAATACTTTGTTTCAAGTTACCAATTTGATCTCACTTGTGGCAAAGTACAAGCAAAAAGTTAGCTTCTATATTCAGTTCTTGAAAATTAAGAGGGCAATTCTACCTTTTCAGATAAATTACTAGTCTAATTACTGGACTCACTTTTCCCACAACTCTCTTCGTTCACACTATTATTCCCAAGTGACTAAAGTCAGAAACTCTCCCACACACCACTATGATTCACCAGTTTTGCCCTTTACCTCTTTGCATTGCATTTCTAACCTCTACATATCCTATGTATATCATATTTCTCTATCTTACTACAAAGAATTTGTCTTAACTGAAAAATTTGTTTTCATATCCTCTTTGCTTATAGTTCAGAGACCACTATGATGATATAATCTAAAATTAGATATACTCAATCAACATTATAACAGGTAATATTATCCAGCAATAGCTAAGATATTATCTTAATGACTGACAACACATTTTTCATACAAACAACAATACCTGAATAACACCATGTCCTTGGGCAAATACTTCTATATTGTCAGCCTTCACTGCAGTGTTCTCTAGAGCCCTCCTGACTGAATGAACTGTGTAGTTAACATTATTAGCTTTCAGACCTAAAATTTAAAAACAAAATCATGAAAAAAGTGTTAGCTCACCACCTGAAACCTTTCCCCCTCACCAGTACAGGTGACGTGTACATTCCCTGGCTTTCATGTCTTGTGCTTCAACACTCATTTTTAAATCTTAAAAAACAAAACAAAAACAGCTGAACTAAACAGTCTGACCAAAACTGCTGGCATCACATAGATTTATTTAAGAAAAATTACTGTGTGCTCATTATGCAATGGCACAGATGCAGGCTACGCAGAGATAATGTAAATTATGTATGAAGCAGAAACCTAAAGGCATCCCAAGGACATCTGCTTTAAAACACTGCTGGTCAAACAATATAGGTTTGGACAAACGTAGGTTTACAGTTGTGAGTGTGTGAAATACAGAGTTTATTCTTTAATTATTAATTATTGTATTATTTTCCACATGAACTGTAAACCTACGTTTGCCCCACCCTTTATAGTTGCTGGAAGTAGTTTTCAGCCTTGCTACATGTTACATAAACATCAGGGGAACTTAAACAAGCAAAAAAGATGCTGAGATCTTACCACAGACCAATTAAATTAGCATCTTTCAGACTAGATCCTAGGCACTGATATGGATTAAAATGCTCCGGAGAACACAGGCTGGGAATGACTGTTCTGTGGGAAGGATATGAAGGCCACCAATCTGTAAACCCTGCATTAATGTCTGTTGTTAAAGATCCAAGATGAATAATATAATATTCTTGCCTCTCCAGAACTCAACAAACATGTAAACACTTATGATATTGTAAGAAATAAGCAAAACAAACATGGAAATATCATGTTGCTGTAAGAGAAAATAATGTGACACTCTATCAGAGGAACAGATACATGAGCCAGAACTTTAAAATGCACAGGAGTTTGCAAGGCCAAAAATGGCCAAAAGGAATTCTAGGCAGAGAGAGCAGTATGATCAAAGACAGGAGGCATGAGCAACCTTGAAATATTTGGTGAGATTAAACAAGACTGGTAATAAGGGAACTGAGTCTAGGGACTGATTACAGGGACACTTCTGAGGTGGAATTGTCACCAGTGTATGGCTATCTTAACTTTCAGTCTTAGTCAATGTCAGTGCCACCCTATTTAATACTGTAAGCCTCCTGCACACCACACTAAAAATTCCTACTTCCCTTTCCACTTCACTTTGCTCTATAGCATTATTCATTACCTTCTATCATGTAACATAAATTGTTTTTAATATATTCATATTTTAATTGATTTTAGAGAAAGGAAGGGAGAGAAAAAGAGAAACATAATGTGAGAAACACTGATTGGTTGCCTCCTGCACATACATGCTTAACCAAGGATCAAACTTGCAATCTGGATATGTGCCCTGACCGGGAATCAATCCCTCCAACTCTAGCCCTGGCCGGTTTGGCTCAGCAATTAGAGCACTGGCCCACGGACCAAAGAGTCATGGATCTGATTCCAATCAAGGGCACGTACCTTGGTTGCAGTTCGGTCCCTGGCCCTGGTCAGGGTCATGTGGAAGGCAACCAATCAATGTGACGTCTCTCTCTCTCTCTCTCTCTGCTTTCTCTCTCTTTCTCTCTCTCTCTCCATCCCTCCCTCCCTCCCTCCCACTCTATCTGAAAAATCAATGGAAAAATATCCTCACGTCAGGATTAAAAAACACACAAAAAAACCCTCTAGTTCTTGGTGTACGGGTTGATGCTCCAACCAAATGAGCCACACTGGCCAGAGCCCATATAAACTATTTTGAATTTTGATCATAATCTGTCTCCTTCAACTATAATATAAACTCCACATGGTCAGGTATTTTCGATGTTTTGTTCACTAACTTAGCTCTAGAGCTAAAATAATGTTTGATAATTAACAGCCAATAAATAAATATATTTGTTGAATGAATGCACATACAAATCATTATTATCTCAAAATTATTCTCCACCTTAAACTTTACTTTGAACTAGCACATTATCAATTCTACCATATTTTCTCATCATAAGAACTTCAGAAAATAAAAATAGCTGTCTGCAATAGGTGGGATAAACTTATTCAATTATTTTTTATGGCTATAAACATAAAATTGTCTAGATACTTATCTAACCTTATAATAAAATAGAGATTTTAGCCAGGACTAAGGTAAAGTATAAAATGATACATTTAAGATCCATTTTATAATGACACTTCTATCTCATTAATAAAAGTAATAAACTGTGATTGAAATATATGTGCAACGGCTAAATATTCACTATTACTTTATTGAAAATTTAGAAACTGTACCATATAGAGCACTAAGAAATGCCCTTACCGGAAAGTATCAGGGCAATGCCTCCACAAGCATTGGGAGAAGACATGGATGTCCCATTCATCAGCTGAGTTCCTCTCAGCGTCCAGTTAGGAACAGAAGCAATGGCTCCTCCTGGTGCACTGATACTCACTCCAAGGGCCCCATCAGCACTGAACAAAAAGCCATTAGTTTGCTTACAATGATAAAAACTGGAAAAACATGGGCATTCATAAAAAGGCCACTGGTCAAATAAATTATAGTACAATACCATGGACTACTTGCAGTCATTGGAATCAATGGGCTAAATTACCCAGCACAACTATTTCCTCATTGAGCAGCATATTTTCCCCTTGTAAGTGGACAACATCTGGGTGTGTGTGTGTGGCTTAGGTAGAAAAAGTTATCAGATATATTTACGGAGAAAAATTAAAATTTTAAAATAAATTTTGTCACTGCTCTAATTGATGAATATACTTTTCTCTTGTTCATAAGCTTTGTTTTTGTCTCAAGTTTAATATAGCATTGTCCAGTAGAAATATGTGGGACACAGCTCATTTTAAGTTTTCTAAAAGCCTCATTCATTAAAAAAAAGAATTTGGTAAAGTTAATTTTAATAGTATATTTTCTTTAACCCAACATATCCAAAATATCATTTCAATAGGTAACTGAAAGAAAAAACATGAGTTAATTTATATTCTTTTTGTACTTGAAAGTCTTGAAAACCAGGTTTATAGTTTGCACTTACAGCACATCTCAATTCAGACCAACCTCATGGGACTATTGGCTGCCATGCTGGACAGCTAAAGTCAACAGGGCTGCTTCATTTAGGGCTTAAGTAAGTAAGATTTAATGAGTTAAAGTCTGTCAAGTTCATTATCGCAGTGTCACTAAACACAAGCTCTGCCCTCTACCCCAAGTAAAGGAAGAACACAAAGGCACACCATTTCCCCCCAACTGACTACATTATTTTTATTCTTGGGTAGGAATACTAGTGTAATTTGGTTTCATATTTTTACACAGCTGAAAGCGATACAAACCATATCTTCCTCATGAAATGGGTTAATGGCATACCTTTTAGTAATTATCTTAAAACAAATATTGTCAGGTAAAAATCTATGGACCTGTAAAGATTTACATACAGTATCATCGAGGGACAAAACTGCCTGAATAGTGTGATCTCCCATTTATGCACAGAATGACTAAAAGGTGGTTACCCAAACATAGTACAGATGAGATTTAGGGTAATTTTTATTTTCTTCTTTGCACCATCTATATTATCTACCGATGTTCACATTGAGCTTTTGGTATCTTATTATTAGAAAAAATAACTTGGAAGAGTCATGAATTCTAACAAGACTAACATCCTATTGTTCTGTATTAATTTTCCACTAGTCTGTTAAAAGTGGCTAATAGTAAAGTATTTAATCAGTGTTCTAAAAATGGCTTCTATAAAGCATAAATAAAAATTTTATTAAAGAAACACCAATCAGAAAGAACATATGCACCCCTATGTTCATAGCAGCACTATTTACAATCGCTAAGATCTGGAAACAGCCCAAGTGTCCATCAGTAGATAAGTGGATAAAAAAGCTGTGGTACATTTACACAATGGAGTACTATGCAGCTGTAAGAAAGAAAGATCTCTTATCCTTTGAGACAACATGGAGGGACCTGGAGAGTATTATGCTAAGTGAAATAAGCCAATCAGAGAAAGACAAATACCACATTATCTCACTTATGTGTGGAATATAATGAACAAAAAAGCTGATGAACAAAACAGATCCAGAGACATAGAAAGGAATACGGTTCAGACTGACAAACTTCAGAGGAAGGGGTTGGGGGTGGGGGATAAGATAAACCAAAGAACTTATATGCATGTATGCATTACCAATGGACATAGACAACAATGCTTGCAGGGTGTGGGGATAGGGAGGAGGGTATCTGGGGGAAAAAGGAGAAACATCTGTAACAAAAATATATTAATTAAAAAAAAAGTTAAAGTAAAACTAAAATTCTCCTAATATAAACTTTACATATTCCTTATAAAAACCTTATATAAACATTATATAAAAGTTCTCTTATAATAAAAAAACACTAGTGATATTTTACTTCTATAATCCAATATGTAATAAAAATTTTAAACACATTTATGTAGGCATTATTTGGTAATCTGCCTTTAAGATAAAGCCCATACTTACAAATATCAGAAAGTCAAATAAATTCTTTGTCTGACAGTCTTTCCTAATGAAGAGGATTTTAAAAATAGGGCTATAGAATGTACTCACTTAGTGATCACTAGTTAATGTTTTATATTTCATTTCCTATCTAATAATTAAACCACTTATTTGCAATGATATTTAATGTTTACAGTACAGTAACACAAAATCAATCCTCTAAACTCGTAGAAAAACTATTTGTGAACCATTATCTACTTAATCCAAGCTTCCCCCGAAATTGATGAACTCATTGTCTTTTATTTTTCATTAATCCTCATTCAAGGATATTTTTTCCATTGAATTTTAGAGAGAGTGGAGATGGGGAGAGAGAGAGAGAGGGAGGAGAGAGAAACATTGATGTAAGAGATACATTGATTGGTTGCTTCCAACACATACACCCCGACTAGGGTGGGGGATTGAACCTGCAACCTCGGACATGCCCTTGATCAGGAATCAAACCTGCGACCCTTTAGTGCTCAGGCCGACACTCTAACCACTGAGCCATGCTGGCCAGAGCTTAATTCATTTTCTTAAAATAATTATTTAAATGTTGTATGTGCAAATAAGACTGACAAAGACTGGTTTAAACATTCTCTAATACTTTGTTTTTATAGTGACTATAAGATAAAACATTTAAAAATCAATTTTAGAAAAGAACAAGTTTAATAATATATTTATTAACTAAACATAAAAGACATAAATGTTTGCCAACTTTGACTCTTATCCTTCTTCCTAGCCACTTGTATTCAGTAATGTGGCGTTCTAGGCCAGTTAGCTGGGCTGATAAGGGCAGTCTATCACAAATGACAATATAGGCAAAGCTTCCTGAATCCTCAGCCTGTTTGCTCTTTCTGACAGTTATAAAAAACTACTGAAATAAGCCTATTTTTTAAAGTAGAAATTACTTAGAGAAAGCTAGGGAGATACCTGTAACTCAGAGGATTAAATTTGACATGACCACATCTGATCTGATCCCAACCAATTTTTCTAATCTTATCTTCCAATAGTTCCTTTACTATATTTCATACTTGAGACAAACCCAATTACTAGTTATTACCCCAAAACCTTTACACTGAAACCTGCTCAATTTTTAGGATCATCCTATTCTTGCCATATAAAATTCCTTTCTCTCACAAAATCCTATCCATTCTTCAAGGCCAACTCCAACACCATTTCCTGCTTGAGAGGTTCCACTCAAAGTGAAGTGATTGCTCCCACTTATGTAATCCCATTTTCCTACAATGGAATTGCAAATTCAGGTCACAATGTATTATTCATTCAGTATGCCTTGCCTACTGCAGGTGGTAAGGTATTTGATTAACTGAATTCAAAGTCGATTCTCTTTAAAAAAAATAAATAACTCCAGCCCTGGCTGGTTTGGCTCAGGGGTTAGAGCGTGGGCCTGCGGACTCATGAGTTGCAGGTCTGATTGCAGTCAAGGGCACATACCTTGGTTAGGGTTTGTCCCCAGCCCTGGTCAAGTCGTTCAGGAGGCAACCAGTTGATGTATCTCTCTCACATCGATGTTTCTCTCTCTCTCTCCCCCGCCCTACCCTATCTGATGATAAATGGAAAAATATCCTCAGGTGAAGATTAAAAATAACAATAACAATAATAATAATAATAATAACTCCAAAGAGGTGAAGAGATGAACTTATTTTCCAGAAGGTACCTGGACCTTCTGATGTCATAATGAGAGATTATATAAATTAGGACTTACTATACCTCTTGAAAAACATAATCTGCTCCTAGAATCAGATAAACATAGTTCACAGAGGGGATTCAAAGAACCAAAATAGATGAACTTAATTTATCAAACAGAACGTGCCTACTATGGATTGTACCCAAAATTGTTCAATACGTTATAACTTCAAAACCATAAACACAGGGCATTCAAGCCTGTAACTGTGACACTTTCCAAAAGTTTAGGGCTTTTGTTTTACTAAGTTCAAATATTGAAAGCATTGCAAAAAAGGCCTTCACTACTTTCTAAAGATAATCTAGCCCTTACTTTGTACTTAGATCCTCATAAATGAAGGATTTGGGGCATAGGCCTAAGAATTTACACTCAGAATAGTTACATATATCTAACAAGGAAATGACTATATTTTACTTCTTTAATTAGCAGTTTCCCTGAGAACTTCTTTAATTAGCAGTTTCCCTGAGATGAAATTCTTAATCAAAATGAAAGTGCTGAAAAAGTAAAAATAGAAGGAATCAGTAAAGTGACCATAACTCTGCCTCATCCCGCCATGTAAAGTTTAACCAAACATTCATAGTAATCCACACGGCCTCCCTCACCTACCTGGGGCCTCTAGAAGACCACGTGTATTGATTGGCAGGTAATTTTTCCCTCAGAGAATACTCAGCAACCATCATATCAGGTGAAACATAAGCACCAACACCTGTGGGATAGATTTCATCATTAATAAAAGGACACAAAACATGAATTTTAATTCTAATCCACTATTCACTTGGCTGTGTGACCTTGGGTAAATTGCTTGATCTCCCTAAACCACAGCTCTGTCATGAAACAAAGACAAAAAAATTTAACCAAGAAAACTTTACTGTGTACCAGACATTACATTACGTGCCTTGTTTTTGAATATAACAATATCTATCAAGATTATTATGTGGATTAAAAATAGTAATGTACCTGAAAGTGTATACAGGTGTAAAAGCAAAAGAGAAATGTGTTTTAAACTATAAAATATAACATTAGAAAAATAAAGAAATTAGTTGACTGGTCATTTTAAAATGACCATTCTATTCAAAACTCGACTCATAAAGTTGGCAGTACCCCTCTCCTCAAAAATGGCTCTAACAACAAACAAAAAAACCAGACATAATATGCCAGTCTTCTAGATAAATATGCAAATGAAGTCTCATTAGACTCTGAAACACAATATAGAGATCAAACTTGGTTCTTTTATTTTAGAAATTTGGAAACATGTCCTACAGAGATTAAAGAAAATGTACAAATTGCACATGTATGACTGGCAGAAAAAATATTTAGAATTCAGGTCTCGAATTGCTCTTTACAACATACACATATTCAGAGTAGAACAGTGGATAAAACATGTGTGAGTTAAGAGGATTTAGATTAACAATGATGACACATAAAACTGCAATTATTTTATAAAATTTAGTTTAAAATTTTCAGTGACTATGGGGATAAGAAAACAAAACACTAAGCATCAGGGCAGAGTAGTAAACTTGATCTTTAGGTACCTTTCAGATTTATTTTTTGTTTCATTTTCATGTGTACTTACAATATCTATATAACTGAAACACACAATATATCACTGGTAGGGACTATTTTCTTAACACACATGATTTAACAGAATTATTTAAGCAAGAGGTTTTAAATTACATAAAGTAAGCTATACCTTAAAATGTAGAAGCTATGAATAAAAGTATGTTTTTATATTTATATTCTATTTGTAATATTCTATTCTGTTATTTTAAAACAAAAAAAAAATAAAAAGGACCAATTTTGAAACTTAGATACCCAAATATTATTATATATACATCTATAGTATCTACATAATAATAACATCTATAGTGTGTGTGTGTGTGTATTTATTGATGTACACACCAGAAAAATTATTTGGGATTCAATAGTTTTTATAATATATCCAATCACAAATGTCAAAAGGTAGCAGCCTTATTTTTAAATTTAGGTAAGGGTATTCGGAAGAAGTGTAAGAATGATATCAAATAAAATTTATTTTGATATCAAATAAAAATAATAAAAATTTAGGCATCATTTAATACACACTTGTTTCTCTCAATTCATCCTCCTCATTCATGCTGCATATTTAAAAAGAACAGCAGTTGGGTTTTATACATTATGGGTTTTTATGCATAAATTGGCAGCTACTGTACTATAATGTCAGCTAACTTTATTATTCTCCTACTATGACTGCACCTAGCTTTGATTTCCCATAACTCGTGCTGATGGGCATTTTTTCCACTGGATTACAGTGAAACAAACAATACAGCCAACATATTTAAAGACCAAAGAGTGGAAGAAAAACCACATTCCTGGAACAAATGTGTTTCAACTGCATTTCTCATTAATAGAACTCCTTTTCTCTACACTTGGTTCTTTCTAAGTGTCCCCCAAAAAATGAGAAGGCGGGAACTACACTATGAGTAAGTAGCCGTACACTATAGATAAAAAGTAAAGCAAGTGTCTCTATTATGTTTTTCACTTAGTCTGGAAAGCTCTTTCCTCAGTCATTCCTAACAATGGAAATCCTCATTCCCACACTTCTTCCAAACAGCCTTACCTAAATTCTCAAATCAGGAGTGCTGCACTTCTGTGATCTCGCAGCACTGTATCTGTGCTTCCATTCGCCCACTTACTCCAGTCTGCCCCACAGGGAATTCTAGGTCAGCAGGCCCCCACAAGATTTCAGTTTCCTGAGGGTGTATTTAGGGTTTACGGTGTCTTGCATACAAGAGATCCAATTAACATTGGATTAACTAAGGAGTTTTCTTAGTTTGCTTATTTTTAAACAAATTTATTTCTAATACAGGAAACTAACCTATTACACTTGATGTAGTTCCCCCTGGACAACCAACTGTAGAAAGGCATGGACCATTATTTCCAGCACTTGAAACATAAATTATATTATGCTTCCACACTGCTTCATTAATTACTTCACAAATTCTCCTGAAAGAGAGAGAGAATTCCTTTGACATAAAAAATTGTCCGGCTTTTCAAGATCTATATTATTATGTGAAAATATTTGCAAATATCTTTTACATAAAAAAACAGACTAAAATATGGTTCCAAATAGAACTAAAGCAGTGGCTATAAATAAGGAAATGTGCATTAGAATCGCTCAGGTCAGAACATTCTCAAACTATAAATGCTATTCCAGAAGTATTTATAATACCAAAGTATTGTTCAAATGCATGGTTTGGGCATGGTTAAGTAACTTTTGGCACTACCCACCGCTGGTGGAACATGATACAGCCATTCCAGGAGATAAAGCCTCGCTGGGTTTTAGTGCTGGGAAGCAGTTATGAGGCCAGGTTAAAGGTAGGGAACTGCTAGATACAAAATTGAACATATGTGGGGAAAACTACAAAAGGACTGACAGTAAATACTGAAAGATTAGCTGTGATTGGGTAGTGGAGAAACAGATGTTTTCACTTCCATTCCCCACTTAAAAGAATGTGTTCATGAATGACGCCTCAGGGAATTCCTATATTTATTTGTGATTAGTGGCAAAGGTGAAGGGGAATTAGGCACTAGGGAGAACTTAAGAGTAAGATTTAAAATGTAAGAAATCTGATTAGAGCTTGATAGCAAACAAGAAAAATGTACTGGTATTAAAGGAGATGAAGTTAGACCATGAAGAAAAGGAAGTCTACATAAGTAAGGTATAGGGCCATGGACACTCCAAAGTGTGAAAGAAGGGACAGTAGGAAAAGGTGACTTTAAGCAGAAGAATATCAAGTAAGGAGAGAGAGAAATACACTTAGGTAAACAAGATACTGAAGCAAAGAAGAAGGGGCAAGACAGCATTCACAATGACTGAGGACGACAGGGTGCTTGTTACAAGAGCAGGAAACAGAACCTGGTAGTAGCCGTTATGTGGAAACTTGAAGTTATTTGATAACTGAAAACCACGGGGTCTGCGCTTGGTAAAATCCTCATTTTGGCAGGATTTTAGTGAAGAGCTTCACACAATGGATGATAGGTATATATGAATGGCTTGGTGGTGGGAGGGGGAATGTGATCAATAAGAAAATACTCTAAATAAGGTCATTTTAAAGTTATTACTATAAAGAAAAACAGGTAGTTAATGTGAGACCAGGACTAAGCCACTGGATATGGCAGCAGGAGGACACTGATGACTTGGGGAGGAGGGGCCGGGAAAGTGAGTGCAACAGTATGAAATGAACAGCTTTTGCATCTGTGCTAAAGCTGGTGACTCTAAAGCATGTCTGTGTAGAGGAAACGAGACCCAGATCACAAAGGCTTCAGTGACTTTTGATCCTGGCACTTCTTTCATTACACAACAGGGAAGGTGGGGTCAGAGGAGGTCGCAGGAAGCACACAAAGTCCCCTGCTAAACACTTTTATTCTCTCTAGGAAAGAAAGAAGTGAGGACTTTACTGAGGGAAGACAGGAAAGGCCACTGAAGGTCTCTGAGGAGAAGAGGAAGTGTAAAATGGTCACACAGGAGTGAAAGAGTAAATGGAGTGTGATCAGACAATGCTGTGTGGCCATCTGACATCTGTGGTCGTAAACCTGAAGTGTGAGGTCAGTATGCTTCTCCAGCAAAGCCTGGCAGGTCAGGTGTGGGATCATTGAAGGGAATGCCAGGGTTTCTACAAGGTGGAGTTTGGTCAGGTAATTACACCTGGAAGAGTTCAGGCTGCTTGTGGATGAGGAATTCTAGTGATAGATGGGGCATGGGGTCCCCCTGGTAGGAGGAAATAAAGACATCGAGGAATGAGCACGGGAATGAGGGCCAGAGATCTAGGAGTTATATCTAACCACAGGGACTGCTTTTTTTCAATTGTGATTTTCAATCCAGTTATGAAAAGCATTTCAAGCTCTTCCTCAGCTAAGTTTCTACGGCCAACAAGCGTCAGAGAACACTCACCCAGAATTTGGCCAGTGAGTTGCTTCTCCATAGCTGTAGTTGACAAGATCACATTTATGGTTTATAACTTCTATCATCTATTGAAAAGATAAAGAGTCTAATTTAGGAAGCAATGTATAGAAACAGACTGGCTAGTAAAATAAAGGCACAGAATCCCACAGTTTCTTAACCAATCATATTCTAATTCAAATCCAAATATATGTTATTTTTAGAAGCATATATTTAATAAACTTTAAAAAAAAGGTAGGGGGAGACAGAGTACAGTAAGCAATCTATAAAAAAATAAAACTAGCGCCTTGGCTAGTGTGGCTCAGTTAGTTGGAGTGTCATGCCATACACCAAAAGGTTGCGTGTTTGTTCCCAGGGCACTTAGGAGAGGCAATCAGATGATGTTTCTCTCCAACACTGATTTCTCTCTCTCTCTCTCTCTCTCTCTCCCCCCCCCCCCTCCCCTCCTTTCCTCTCTGTCTAAAATCTATAAACATAACCTCATGTGAGGATTAAAAAAAACCCACAAAATACAAAATTTAAAAAGGCACACAAAAAACTAGCATTTGCAGAATGGAGTGGGGGAAAGGAAGAGAAACTGGAATGGTTATTACTAATTTCTAAATCCACTGAAGTTCAAGTAAAATATAATTCATATGCTAAAATGAAATGTAGAATATTAGTTAAATTCTTCTTAGGCTGATGAAGGAAGCTGGCTAAGAGGCCTTTTTGTTGTTTTAAAGTATCTCAAAATAGCTTGCTAGAAGATTTACTAGAAATGAGATGTATAATATAAAAAAAAAAATCTTTATATTTTCCAAGAAACTTTATCCTAATAATTTTAATATAAATAACTGAAAAATATTCTTGGTAAGCCCAGAGCACTTCATAAACCTAAAAATATCCAAGATCATCGATCATTAATCTTCTAAATCAACACCTCACAAATACTCACAGCTCTTATAAGGCCTGTGCCTGTTTCCATTGTGCTCAGTCTTGTGTCACCAATCTTGATGGAAAGAACCTGGGCACCAGGAGCTACACCATTCCGTTCAGGTTCTTCTGGAAAATGCCCAGCAGCTATACTAGCTACATGTGTTCCATGAGCTCCTAGAGGCAAAGAGGGGAATATAAAAGATCCTCACACAAAGTTTTAACTGTTCACTTTGTATATTTATTAATCATGAACAAATTAATAAAATAAAAATATACTCTCATAATATTTAATGATATATTACCTTAATTCTCATCAATAGTACACAAAAAATGAAATTCTTTGAATTTATACACTATTCTGCTACCCTGGATTCTACCTTCTTCACTGAGAGCAAAAATGCAAGTCACAAAGATGAGATAGTGTTTTCAATATATATAATTAACAAAGAGCTTATATCCAAAATATAATCTTTCAAATTCTAAGGAAGAGAAAGAACACAAAAGAAAAATGGGTAAAACACTTGAAAAGTATTTCACAAAAGAGGAAAACCAAATGGCACATAAATATATGAAAAGATGTTCAACTTCATTAGTCTAAGAAATGCAAATCAAAGCCACATATCTTTCAGAACAAACTTTAAGACTGATAACAGCAACCGTGGACGGGGATGTGCAAATGCACACATTGCTGGTGGGAGAGTAGACGAGCATTTTGGAAAGCTGAACTTAGGCATACCCTATGATTTAACAATTCCACCTCTAGCAATTCCTCAACAGAAATGTGTGCACATGTGCACTAAAAGACCAATACAAAAATGTTCATGGCAGCATTGCTTGTAAAATTCAAAAATTTGCATGGAAACATAGTATATTCACAGAATCGATTATATGACAATAAATATGAACTACTTCTATATACTATGAGATGAACCACACAAAAATAAGGCTGACTTAAAGAAGTCACACACAAAAGTATATTGAATTATGCATTTATATAAATGAAAATATCACCATATGAGGTTGAACCATATGTCATTACCACCATTTAATCATTTCTGATGAATAAAAACAGCAATACCAGATAGTTCAAATGAATGTGCTAACAGAAATAAAGAGAGTAGTTAATTTTGGGAGAAGGGAAGGTAGGTTGGTGGTTAGGAAGAGATAAGATGGGGACTGTATCAATGCTTTATTTCTTGACTTGGGAGTGGCTACACAGAAGTGTCCATTTGTAACAATTCAATGCATTTACAACTTATGAATTGTATACTTTTTCCTATATATGTTACATGCCAATGAAGTAAACAAACAAAATAAACTAGGCCCTTTTTTTAGTGAAAAAGTTTCTTTTCTTTTTTTATATATATATGTTTTTATTGATTTTGGGGGGGAAAAGAGGAAGGGAGAGATAGAAACATCAATGTGAGAGAGATACATCAATTGACTGCCTCCTGCACGCCTCCTACTGGGGATTGAACCCACAACCTGGGCATGTGCCCTGACTGGGAATTGAACTGGGACTTCTCAGTCCATGGGACAAAGTTCAATCCACTGATCCACACAACCGAACAAGTGAAAAAGTTTCTTAAAAGACATGGGTAGAGAGAAATATCTCACTACTATCACATAAACAATAATGCAAACATGATGATTGATGACACCTGGTATTGGACCTTAATGTTTGGGTGACAATGGAATAGCTAGAGCTCCACGAGAAATGAGAGCATATGACTTTTCCAACTTGTCTGCTGCAATGCTGAGACTCCTCTGCTCCAGACAACTCGTCACATAAGAATATGGACCCAATATTACCAATTCTTCCTATGCACTTTTTTCAATATAAATAGGAAAGCTGAATTTTAATGTTATTTAAAAAAAAAAAAAAAAAAAAAAAAACTTTGGCACCACCACCTATAGCTAGAGTGGCTAAAACTAAGCAGACCGACCACACTATGTCAGGATAAGAATGTGGAGCTTCTGGAGCACTCACGTTCAGCTGGTGAAATTCAGAGGGTACAGCCACTGTGGAAAACAGCCAGGAAGTGTAACAATATATACCTACTCTATAAATATATACCTACTCTAACTAACCAGTTCCCCTAGATAGCATTCCAAATTAAATAAAAACATATTTCCACCCAGAGACTTGTATACAAGTATTGGAACAATCAAAATCTCCATCAAGTGAATGGATAAACAAACCATGATGTATTCACATCATGAAATACTCATCACTAAGAAATAAGCTTTTATAATTATAATATGGGTTTCAAACCATTACTATGAAATAAGGCAGGCAAAAAGCCATATTTTTATTCCACTTACATAAAATTCTAGAAAATACAAACTCTCGAGAGTGACAGAAAGCAGTTCTGTGGCTACCTGGGGATGTGGGTGCAGACAAGACTGGATTACAAAGGAAAACAAGCAAACTTGTGGGGGTGATGGAAATGTTCATTATCTTGTTTGTGGTGATAGTTTCCTGGGAGTAGGCTTCTATCAAAACTTATCTAATTGCATATGCACAAACACACGCACACACACACACACAAATACCTCCACGGTCACAACAGAGAGCAAGTTTCCATCAAGTACACATTATTGTACTTCTGCTATTCAGCTATGTCTTAATAAAGTTGGGGGAGGGAGTGATAAAGAGTTAAAGTCTTCCTACTTCATTATCCTTGCTCCTTCATCAGGAGTAACCACTATCCAAGATGGTGTGTATATTCTTCCCATCTGCATTGTTACCATACAAACACACATAAGCATAAACATTCTATAGTATTATCTGGTATGTTTTATAATTTGACACAAATGTTTTATCATTAATATACGTTAAATTAAAAATTATATATTTGAGATTTATAAATACAGGTTATGTAAATTTACTTGTTTTGACTGCTATATAATATTCCACAAATGAATAACATACAATTTTTACAAAACTTATTCTTTTGGTCTGGCCAGTGTGGCTCAGTGGATAGAGTGTCGGTTGTCCCATGGACCAAGAGGTTCCCATTCGATTCCCGGTCAGGGCACATGCCTGGGTTTTGGGCTCAATCCCAAGTAGGGGGCATGCAAGAGACAGCCGACTGATGTTTCTTTCTCTCCCTCTCTCTCTAAAAAACCAGTAAAAACATATTTAAATAAAAACAAAAACCTGTTAGTTTGTTGATAGGTATTTAGATTGTTTCACTAGAAAGTACAAAGAGTCAGGTAAAAAGATCTTCACTACGGCATTCTGCCTCATTTCAGAAAAGCTGGAATTTCTCAAGGGTTAATATTTGGAGGTGAAATTACTGTTCTTTAGCTGAGTTATGCAGATGAATTTTTTTTGTGTTTGGACCACACTTGTACTCTTAGAATGGAGCCTACATAACAACTTCAAGAAAAAACACCTTACCAGGGAATTGAATCACATTTATTATTCCAGACCTAGATCTTCAGTTGGAATCTCTAGATTAAATTCTCTATAAGGCTGCTTTTGGCTACAGGAATTTATCATTTTGCACTTTGTAAATTTAACTCTAATTAGCAAATCTAAAACAGAATACCTCCACTGGTCACAATAGAGAGCAGGTTTCCATCATCATATATATTAACGGAGTAATTCAACATTTCAGCTGTGCCAAAAGAGCTATATTCTTGGGCTTCTTTGTAGTTTCTCAATACAGTAGATTTACTCAAGTCCCCGTCTTCATCTGAATCAATGCAGGCTCTGTAAATTCCAAATACAGAACAGATATTGAAATTTATTTCCTTACCTTCCTAAAAATCACATAATAATGTTTCTCAGGTATCTTCTTACTACCCTATCCATTTCTACCACAGCAACCACAGTAACTGCTGGGTTTAGAATTCTTTGTTGCATAGTCATCAGCAAAAATTAGGTAAGATAGCTTTACAAAATTCCAGACTGAAAAGCCTTACAGCCAATTTAAAAATTAGACCAAAGCTTAGCCTAGAGCTTTAGAATAGTTTAGGATGATTTTGACACATAACCTAGGCCTTCCTGCTTCTTCTAGAACTGGCTTTATGAATCCAATTGCATATGCAAGTCTCCTTGAAGTAAGAACTATTATCGAGCCTGTCCCATAGGTGTTAACAGTCTTAGGCATTTATTTTTTACAAAAAGCATTTTCTACATAATTGTGTGGTTGTCTTCCTGTCTGTTCTTTCCCCATTTTAGCTTTTTTTATTGTATAGAGGGCACTTATTATAAACACTAAGGCATATATTGTATGAACAAACTACAGTAATTTGGAAAGAAGGATCTCTAAAATTGTAAGGTTGTTTTTATGTATAACCCCAATCAATGTGTAGCTAATATAATTTACAACCAAAAAAAGACATACAATATAGCAAGATATAGAAGACAACACTTAGGAGACAAATTAGGCAAAAAGAAAACAAGTAGCTTATCAAATGGAGGTAGGATGGAGGTTAAAAGGTAAAATGTATGCCATCAAATTTTCGGCATTTGCAAGACAGTAGCACTTTTGGTTCCAAAACGGATGGGCAGTATCCATCCTGGAAATCATCTCTGAAGCCCTCCCTTTTTTTCGCCCAGCCCATAATACACTCTAAACTTCTAACAGCTTCTCTGTTGTCCTCTGGACCTTCCCCTCTAACTTTTAACCCCCCTTTACTATCTTCTTTGCTTAGCTAACTTTTGATGATCTACCAATGAAATCTTTCTTATGCTTCCCATATGGGTTCAGATGTTCCCAGTACTTGCTTCCACAGGGTCTAGAGTAGTTTCTAGAGAATCTACCTGGTACAAAGAAGCTACTCAAATTATTTCCCAAATGATGAAATGAGTGAATCAATCAACACTTCTCTCACAGAAAAGGCAGTCAAGGTGGTAGTGTAGGTAAAAGTGGTACTAGCATTCTTCCACAACCATATCAAAATTACAACTAAACTACAGAACCGCCATAATTCAGAACCACCTGAAATCTATCTAAACAGAAGTCCTACAACTAAGGATATGAAGCCCCACTGAAAATGGTAGGAGAAGGGGGGAACAAGTTGGTCCCACACCCACGTGGCGGATAAAAATCAGGAGGGCTACCTCAGCTTCAGAGAACCCCTTGAGGAGCAACGGGTCCCAGCCCTCCACCAGGCCCCCCAGCCCAGGGTTCCAGTGCCAGGAAGAGAAGTCCCTATAACTTCTGGCTGTAAAAGCCAGCAGAGATTGTTGCTGAGTGAGATGGAGGGCGGCTGGAGTCCCAGGTGTTCCTTTAAAGGGCCTGCACACAATCTTGCTGAGATTCATTCACTCTGAGCTTTAGCACTAGGGAAGCAACTCAAAAGACACCAAGTACATACCAGAAGGAACTAAATTATCTGGCATCTGGGTGAGAGCTGTGGGGCTGTGGGAGGATTGGGGGGTTGTGTGGGGGGACAGACATCTTTCTCCCAGACAGAAGTGCTGGCAGAGGCAACTGTTCCTTGATGAGCCCTTCCCTCAAAGAGCTGGCAGGTGGGTGCCATACCTGAGTCTCCATCAACATGGCTAAAACCATTCACCCCACCTGGTAATTCCGTGAAACCCCACCCCAACAAACTAGCAGGCCCACCCAAGGTGTTTCCAGTACCTTTTACATAAGAATGGCCTGTCTTTGCTCATGCTTCAGACTTTCCTAAAATCTCTCCAACAAGCAGAATCTGGCCTCAACATGCCATGCACTGCTCACTAAATGGCCCCAAGCCCAGCACTAGTGGCAGCTGGTTTTGGTTCGCAGTTTGGCCGCTCCTGGGCACCTCCTTCCTAGCCAGCACAAGTAGCAGCCATCTGAAGTTTGCTTTGTAGATCATGCCTGCTGGTCCCAGGTAGAACACAGGCTGATCTTGGCTTTACGACCAAGTAAATCTCCTGAAAACATATACTAGTATCCTGCACATCCTGATCCCAAATTCCTTTCCATAAGGACGAAGCAGCCTGCAGTTCTGTCACAGGTGAAAAACACTGTAACCAAAACCACCTATTGCTCCACTACGCAATCCCTGCTGATATTTTAGTATTTCTTTCAGTCTTTTGTAGTCAATTCTCCCCAAATACTCAGTTTTGTATTTAGTATTTTCCTCACATTTAACCTTGCCTCCTCTCCCACACTAAAACTCTCCTAAGCCTTATCACTGGGAATGACTTTGTCATGTTAAACCATGTAGTGGATGTTACCAAAATTTGCTAAACCATACGTTTGGACATTTTTTATATTATAATCACTGTGATCAAAGCTTTCTGCATAGCATTTACAAAAAAACTGTTCACATATGTGTGTATACTTGTATGTACACACACCTATACAACACCTGAAAACATGTAAAAACTGCAATAAGATTTACTATCAACTGAGTGAAAAATGCAAATATTTTATTAACACTTTCAGTCCCAAAGGGAGCAGGGATATCTCATTCAATTAAAAATTTCTCATTCAATTAAAAATGTATATCCATTGTCAAAGATGAGTTAGTACCTACATCCACGGGAGAAAGGTACATTGTAATGTAAACAATCTGAGAAAAGTAACCAAGTCATCATATCTTATTCTGTATCTTGGGAAATGATTCTCTGCATATGAACAGGGATTCAAACTACAAAACTATTCTTGATTTCAAGTTTTTAGGGATTAAAAAATAAAGTAAAATATAATTCTATCAAAAGCAAAAGAAAACAAAAAAGTTTTAAGGAAATGTCCTCGGTTTCCTGCAGGTACCCTAAAACACACACACAAATGCCTAATTATCTGTATTAAGAACACATGCCTATTTCCATGCAGACAGTAATTCAGGAAGTCATACTACCCAACTCCAAGAAACACATCTGCAGTGTGCAATTCACTAAGAAACTGAAAATGTACAGGATATGTAACTTGGTGTAAATCATCAATATTACTATTATTAGTAGTAGCAGCAGCAATAGCTTACATTTACTGAGTGCATATTGTGTCTAGAAACACCAAAATTAGTTTTTTAAAAATCCTCTAGGAAGGTAGTATTATCTCAATTAACGGATAAGGAAACAGGCTTAGAGAGGTATCAAGTGTTCCAGGTCATACAGCTAGGATTCCATCTCAGAGACTGAATTCTGTATCATTTTATACTGCCTCACTTCAACTTAGCTACCCTGCCTCTACTGAGATCTTCATTCAACTTTCCTCCTTTGCCCAAGCAGATGCTTTGCAACATTCTCTTGCAGTTACTTCCCAAATTGCCCAGCTTCAATCAGGAACATTTCTACATATAGTAATGATTAACCTGCTAAAATATGGTTACTGATAACTATCTGGTTAGTGAAATAAACTTCTTTAAAACACAAGAGTCAGGTTTAGTGTCTAAAGTACTAAGAAGTTCAAAAGGCTTGTCCAAAACAAGTTTTGCTTAGTGATATTAATGTCATAATAAATCAAATCTCTGACAGTTCTGAGGGTTTAATGTCCTTCCAAGTAGATAAAAATATGTTGAACTGAAGGGCTATAAAATACATAAAGTTTACCTCCAGACTTCACCGTCATGCCATACCAAACAGTCGTATACAGGGCCAGGGTCACTATATTTTTTTTCAAAAGAATTTAGCAATTCCACTTGACTTTGAAGCTCCTCCTTCATTAGTTTATTTGCCTAATTAAGTAGAACATAAATTAATATTAGTACATTTTGTACTCTTGAAAAGTTACATTAACATATAACTAAAGACACAGTGTGACCCAACAGTACAGTCATTTTACCCTAGAAAAATGTAAGAAATTTTTTATATCTATGCAACTTGTAGTTCAATTTAATGATGCAGGTATCAATTAATATATTAAATAGTTTAAAAATAGTATTTCTTTTACTCAATCTTTCATTCAGTCAATCACTCCACCTGCTTTGAGAAAAATACTATACTATTTTGCATGTTTTACTGATTTTTATTTTTTAATCCCCACCCGAGGATATTTTTCTGTTTATCTTCAGACAGAGTGGAAGGGAGGAAGAGAAAGAGAAATATCAGCACAAGAGGGACACATCAACTGGTTGCCTCCCGCAGAACCAATCGCTACTGCGGTACATGCCCCTGACCAGAATCAAACCCGTGACTTACTGGACCATGGGCTGAAGATCTAACTGCTGAGCCAAACCGAGCTCTTTATTGATTTTAGAGAGAGAGAGAGGAAGGGAGAGGGAGAGAGAGAAACATCGATGAGAGAGAACATAGACTGGCCATCTCCTGTATGCCCCCCACTAGGAATATGGCCCACAACCTGGGCATGTGTCCTGCCCGGGAATCGAACCAGCAATCTCTTGGTGCATGGGTCAACACTCAACTACTAAGCCACACTAGCTGGACTCAACTTTTAGACTTTTATATCAGGACCATTTCCATTTGAAGTCTGTTTCTTAAGAACTCAAATAAATAACAGAAACCATGAACTGTCTTATCTCTTCTAGAATATACTGAGTCAAATACATACTGTATACATGACCATGTAGATATAAGCTGCTATTTAACCATTTTAATCTACAAAAATGAGAATTCCATGTGCTTCAACCTAAGTATTTTTTAACTACACACTACATTAGACTGTTCTACATTCACCTGAATGGTCCTAGTGAATAAAAATTTATTTTTCACATGGTCCAAAAATCTTAAGCTATGCTTTGTTTTTAATTATTCAACATATTGCACATTTACTCCTCCTTAAGGGAAAAAGACAATTATGTAGATATGTTTGGTCTATAATAAAATAAAATAAAAAATTAAATCCAGCTCCCTCTTTTATAAAGTTAGCCATATATATACACACAGCACTTGAAATACTACATTTAATGTGTCTAATAAGAGGCTGAATTAGGACAAATAGTGATCTAATAGAAAATTGTTGCATAACCAATGCACATAGATAACAATGCTGGGGACAAGTTGGGGGGCGGATCGGGAGGAGGGTGTCAATGGGGGAAAAAGGAGAAACATCTGTAACAAACATAAATTAATAAAAAAAAAAAAAATTACACCCTGGCCAGTTTGGCTCAGCAGTTAGAGCGTCGGCCTGTGGTTCAGAGAGACCCGGGTTCGGTTCCCACTAAGGGCATGTACCTTGGTTGCAGTTTGTCCCTGGCCCTAGTTGGGTCATGCGGGAGGCAGCCACTCGATGTGTCCCTTTCACGTCGATGTTTCTCTCTCTCTTCCTCTCTCTCCCTCCCACTCTATCTTAACACAAAATGGAAGGGTGTACTTGGGTGAGGATAAAAAATAATAATAATAAATAAAAAAAGAAAATCACACAGCTGTTCACAGATTAAGTAAATATAAAATAAATGTGTGTATAGATCTACACAGGCCAGTGGTCCTCAACCCTAGCTGCATGTTAATTAAAGCTCATGGGGGGCTTTTAAAAATGTCTGCCTCCCTGCAAGGTTTCAATTTCATTCCTCTCTAGAGTACAAGACTGGCTGTTTTAAAGTTCTTCATATCATTTTAATATGCAGCCAGGGTTGAGAAACACTAATACGATTCCATTTTGACTAAGAAAGGGTACATTAAAAAAAAATTCAAGCCCTGGCCGGTTTGGCTCAGCGGTTAGAGCGTCGGCCTGCGGTCCGAGAAACCCGGGTTCGGTTCCCGCTAAGGGCACGTACTTCGGTTGCAGTTTGTCCCCAACCCTGGTTGGTCGTGCGGTGGCAGCCACTCGATGTGTCCCTTTCACATCGATGTTTCTCTCTCTCTATCTCTTCCTCTCTCTCCCTCCCACTCTATCTGTACAAAAAATGAAAAAATGTCCTCGGGTGAGGATTAAAAAAAAAAAAAAAAAAATTCAAAAGGATAAACATAATTGTTGGTACCACTCCTGGAGCGTCGCATTTTTGAGGCTTTCACTTGCTACTTTATACACCTGTGTTGTCCAAAACTTTCTGCAACTATAAATTTTTTCTATGTAATAAATCAAGATATTATTTTATTTTATAAATTGATTCAAAAAATTACTGGCTGGTATTTAAGGATGTAAACCATGGAAACTCTCATATACTTCTTGTGGGAATGTGAATTGGTGCAACCACTTATGACACCCGCCCCTGCCCTCTCCAAAAAACATGCACAAGAATGTTCAAAATAGTATTTTTCATAATAGCCAAAAATTGAAAACAAAGAAAATATCAATCTGTAGAATGGATATGTAAATTTTGGTGCACCCATCAAATAGCAAAGAAAGTGAAGAAACTATTTCGATACCCCAAAAATAGATGAATATCACAAACACACTGAGTGAGAGCAGCTACATGTAAAAGAACACACACTGCATGGTTCCATTTTACGAAATTCAAAATAGGCAAAATCATTCAACAGTTTTAAAAGTTAGGATGGTGGTTGCCTTTGTGGAGGAACAAGGAAGTAACAACTAGGAAGAGGCATGAGATGATGCTGCTAATATGGGAGTGTTCATTTGGTGATAATTTATGACTACACACTTATGATTAAGCACTTTTACATGTTATTATATGTTCAATAATAAATTTTAAAAAATGAATACATATGTGAATTGATTTTAGATAAAATAATAAAGAAAAAATGAGTAAAACTAAACAACTTGCCCTGGCCGGTTTGGCTCAGCGGTTAGAGCGTCGGCCTGTGGTCCTGAGAGACCCGGGTTCAGTTCCCGCTAAGGGCACGTACCTCGGTTGCAGTTTGTCCCCGGCCCTGGTCGGTTGTGCGGGTGGCAGCCACTCGATGTGTTCCTTTCACGTCGATGTTTCTCTCTCTCTCTCTGTTCCTCTCCCTCCCTCCCACTCTACCTGAACAAAAAATGGAAAAATGTCCTCAGGTGAGGATAAAAAAAAAAAACAACAAAAAAAACTAAACAACTTAAACTTGTAGAAAAAACAACAGTCTATTAAAAATTCTCTAAGAACTCTATGGTACATGGTCCTATGGTAATGTTTAAATAAAAATGATGAGCACCAACTTGAGAAGGGCAATTGTTGGCAACATCAAATTCTTCCTGTTTTCTACAAGCTTCGGCTAGGGCCACTCTGTGAACAGGGTCCCAGATTTTTTCCTTTCGTTCTTTCTGCAAAGACAGAAAATGACATCACAATGAGGTTAACAAATATTCAGGTAGACCTAGACAGTCATTCATATGTGGACCCAGCTGTTATCAGCTGTGATGCACATGATTCTCATAGAGACTAAAAAAAAATTAGTTAAAATCAAGTTGACAAAGCAATAAATCAATTATTAAAAAATAATTCATTCACTACACCTAGGTTTTAAGAGAATGAGTTTACTAAGACACACCCAAATGTATTTTTATACATCGTACACTGCAATTTAAATCCTTCAAAGAGTAAATATGCTAGATAACTGAATTCCCAGTCATTTAAAGTGAAAAAAAAACAAAAAAAACTCTATTCTAGGACCTTACAGAACTGAGAAACGTGTCAAGTTAAGTGCAAAGCTGAGGACAGGAATAAGATTGCAGCTACATTTTGATGGACATGCAGACTTCCTCAATATTCCCCCGTCTCTAGCTTATTTTTTTTCTGATCCTCTGTGACTTGATAGGTTTCTTTTTTACTGAAATTTGTCTTACCTTCATCTCCACTGTCTTAAACCCAGAGTGTCTCCGAATGGAAAAATCCTTTCCAGTAAAATAATCAACTTGTCTGAGGCTAAGGTGGGGGCTGGGGTCAGACTTAACTTAATCACTCTATATTTGTAGGTTAATTTGTTACCTACCTTATCAATGCAGTAATACTAAACAACTTAAACTTGTAGAAATATAGTGCATTAATATACTGTGATATATAGGTGTATTTCAGCCTGAAATTTTAAAATAAAATAGTACCCAATAAAAATCAAGTGCAGCCAGTTTGGCTCAGCAGTTAGAGCATCGGCCTTCAGACCAGAGTCCTGGGTTCGGTTCCTGCTAAGGGCACGTACCTCGATTGCAGTTTGTACCTGGCCCCAGTTGGGGTCATGTGGGCGGCAACCAGTCAATGTGTCTCTCTCTCACATCAATGTTTCTCTTTCTCTCTTCCCCCCTCTCCCTCCCGCTCTATCCAAAGATAAATGCCAAAATGTCCTTGGGTGAGGATTAAAAAAAAAAAAAAAGTCATGTGCATTATTTTTTTGTAGTAATGCCTGGAATCTGACTAACAAGTAATAGTTACTATATATGCAATATCACTTTTTATGGTTCATAGACCCCTGGAGAAACAGATACTTAATGTTATTATGACTAGAAAAAAGGGACCACAGGTCTTACCCCTCAGGCTCACTTTCAAGGCTTACATCTTGTTTTACAGTTGAAGCCCTGAACCTGCCTACATCAGCACCTAGTGTTATAGAAGTCTTCCAAAGCAGCACTGTCAAATACAGAAACCACTAGCCACATGTTGCTATTTAAACTGAAATTCTAAAATAATGCATCAATTACAATTCCTTAGTCATACTACGGTCACATTTCAAGTTCGCATAGTTACTGGTGGCTAGTGACGACCATAATGGATAGATATGGAATAGTTTGAACATTTCCATCATCACTGAAAGGTCTATTGAATAGTGTGCTATCTTAAAGCAGACTCCATATGCTTCAGTTTACAGCTCTAATTCTCTAATGACAGATTCGTGCTTCCTATACTGCAGCTGCTTTAGGTTTGAGTAACCCTTTCCTTAATACTGAGTGATAACTAACTGGGATCAAGGCTAGTTAAACTATAGAAAAATGGGACAAATTATCATAAAAGCTATAAAGTCTGGACTTTAAATCAACTGTCTTTAACCGTTCTGAGATTTTTTTAAAGTCCCTCAAAAATCCAATGAAAGCTATATGCCATTTCCCAGAAAAACACAAATACCAAAAGACTTGATTATAATTTCAGTGTATCCACAGATTTCCTAAGCTTATTAATGTAATTCAAGATTAAGAACTATAACGTTATTTATTTAAATATGTTTTTATTGATTTTTTTTTAGAGAGACAGAAACATCAGCGATGAGGGAAACATACCCCCAACTGGGGATCAAGCCCACAACCCAGACATGAGCCCTGACCAAGAATCGAACTGGGAACTCTTAGTCCATAGGATGGTGCTCAATCCACAAAGCCACATTGGCCAGGAAAGAACCATGACTTTAAATAGGTAACAGTCCACTGAACAGAATCTTTCTTTAAGTTATCATTGTTTGAAAGACTCCCATTACCCAAAATAATTAAGTGAGTGAGATTTTATAATTTTTTTTCTTCATTTGGAATAAAATTTGAGAAAGAAGATAAGTCAGTGATAGTAGATTGAACATCACCTGTATCCTTTCCTTGAGGGCCTTTGGATAGAAGTCGTAGCCATTTTTTATGCCAATATGATATCTGCCTGAGGGATTTGTCCAGCTCGCAGGAATCTATAGGGGAAAAAAAGCAAATTATTGATTCATTAAATGCTTCCCAATTCCACTGGTTTACAACGGGAGAAAAGGATATTTCACTTGTATCCTAATGGCTAAACTTGGATGATCAGGCTCACATGTTAGAGCACTATTTTAATAGTCTAAGGTGCCACTTAATATCTCTGACTCCTTTTATCTCAACTATAAATAAGATGGCTCACCTAGAATACCTTTCATTTACACAATGCTTCATAGTTTACAGAATACTTTCAACATAACCAACCTTATTAAACGACTAAGATCTTTAGTTCTTAAGCATCAATGACACCTCAGCTCTCCCTTCACCACCCTATTGCCCACCAACTAGTTGGAAGGGGAAGCAATTTACAGAACCTCTTATTCTGATATTTCTCATTAATTACATGAGCTTTCACGGGGATCTAAGATACAACAGGGATAATGTCTAGAAACTAAATAAGAGCTCTGAGTTCAAACAAAAAAGTTCTATAAAATCATTTTAATTATAAAGAACATTTTATAATAGTCTTTTCAACTACCTCAAAGTATTTAAAAATAACACATAAAGCTTTTAACTAACAGAATGATATAAACAACGTGCCCAGTTTACAAATGGAGAAAGCAAAGAAGCAAAAAGAAATTAAGTTGCTCGCCCAAATAATAGGAAGGTGGAAAAGAAAACTGAAATCTGGTTCTATCATGGAACTAAAAAATTCAGAATAAAGGATATGCGATTTAAAGTCAGATAAACCTGGCTATGAATCCAAATTCTATTATTAACTAGGTGGGACCCACAGGCTTCTAGCTCCTCGTGTGTAAAACGAAGAAAATAATCCCTACCTTGTGATTCTCATGAATAACAAAATGCACTGAACATCAACCAACTTGAACTGTCAATAAGGAAAATGCACAGGATTCACACTCTTTGTAATCATAGGACCTATAATCATTAAAAACAGCTTTTAAATGTGTATAAATGATGAGGTCGAACTATCAACCACTCAGAGTTGGTTTAATCATCAATTCTCTTAGTGCAACATCTTTAACCAAATCAGCCCATGTCCCTCATCAAATTATTTCCCAGGTAGGAAACTTTTGGGTGAAATTTTCTCACAACTATATAGAGGAAAAGAATCATTCACAGAAGTTCAAAAATCTACTGACTTTTTTAAAGCCTGCACATCAGCCTGGCCGGTGTGGCTCAGTGGATTGAGCACTGTCCCATGGACTGAGATGTCCTGGTTCAATTCGCAGTTAGGACACAAGCTCAGGTTGCTGGCTCTGTCCCAAGTGGGGGGCATGCAAGAGGCAGCCGATCAATGTATCTCTCTCACATCAATGTTTCTATCTCTCTCTCTAAAAACAAAAAAAAAATCAATAAAAACATATTTTTTAAAAAGAAAAAGAAAAGAAAAGCCAGCACATCAGTAATCATTTCTGAATGAATTAGATGTCTGGAGTATGGGAAATTTCAACTATGTTGACACACAACCTAGCATTTTTTATTCAACAGGGATTTATGTAGACAACAGGGATTATAAACTCTAATGTTCTTGTAACTGTCCATGACATAACAACAATAATAAAGTGTTGCAACAAGAAAAAGTTAAGTAGTCATTAGTTGGCAAATTTTAATAATACTTAATCACAGGGATGCCACTGCACAGGTGGCTTTGCAACCATAGGTTAGTGGCAATTTCATTTACAAAAAGATTACCAAAAGCTGTGAACTATCAAAGGATTTATTGGTATAACTAATTAAAAGAACTGCAAAAGTAAACAGCTATTAAGACATATTTAATCACAATTACTTAAAATATATGTAAATAGCCCTGGCCAGTGTGGCTCAGTTGGTTGGAGCATCATCCTGTGCGGTTGTGAGTTAGATTTCTGGTCAGAGCACATACCTAAGGTATCGGGTTCCATCCCCAGTGGGGGCGTGTCAGGGGGCAACTGATTAACGTTTCTCTCATAAATCGATGAATATCTCTTTCTGTCTGTCTGTTTCTGTCTCTCACACCCTTCTCCTCTCTCTAAAATCAGTAACATATCCTCAGGTGAGGATTCAAAAATTAAATAAAATTTTAAAAATAAAATACATGTAATACAAATCAAAATAATCCGATAGACATAATTTATATTTAATTATAAATAAGACCAAAATCTGCAGTGTCCAGGTTTTTCTTTTTAAGCTTTCTTAAAAAAAAAAAATCCTCACAAGAAGAGATGTTTACTGATTTTTAGAGAGAGGAAGGTAGGGGGAGGGGGAAAGAGAAGGAAGAAAGAGAGAGATAGAGGGAAAAAGAGAGGAAGAGAGAGAGACATCAATGTGAGAAACATTGATTGGTTGCCTCCTGTATGTGCCCTGACTAGGACTGAACCCGAACCTTAGGTATGTGCCCTGACCAAGAATCAAACCCACAAACTTTTGGTGTATGGGACAAAGCTCCAATCAACTGGGCCACCTGTCTAGGGCATAAACTAGATACTTTTCTTTTTAAATCACTATAATATGTTTTCCTCATAGAATACTTAACTACAGCCCTGGCTGGTTTGGCTCAGTGGTTAGAGCGTCAGCCTGCAGTCCAGAGAGACCTGGGTTCGGTTCCCACTAAGGGCATGTAACTTGGTTGCAGTTTGTCCCCAGCCCTGGTTGGGTTGTGCCAGTGGCAACCACTTGATGTGTCCCTTTCATGCTGATGTTTCTCTCTCTCTTTTCCTCCCACTCTATCTGAACAAAAAAAAAATGGAAAAATGTCCTCGGGTGAGGATGAAAAAAAAAGAGAATACTTAGCTACAAAAATTCAACTCAAAAAAAAAAAAAAAAAATCAGATATTAAATCATGGTTCTGCTATCTGATCTTAACCAAGTTAGAATAAAGCTAACTTTTCTCTATGAGGCAATTATGGAAAATGTAATTTTACATATTTGAGTATTCTTCACAAATGAAGATACTTTTAGTCTCTTTAAGAACCAAACTTCTTTAACATGGCTTTAATTATGTGTTCACTTCAACATAATGAGACTGATTGTCATATGAGAAACAAAATCTCTTTAATTCCTCACTACACCTCTTTTCCCTGAGTCTTTTAAATATGCCTAACAAGGAATGCCTGACTAGCTCAGTTGGTAGAGCATGAGACTCTTAAAGATGCCTAACAAATTAAACATTTTCTTAACAAGCCAAGTGTCATCCTTAGCGTTAATGTTCCATGCAGTAAAATCCTGTTAAAGAGATCTTTTTAGCCTCCAAACATCATCACATTGGATATTAAGGCTTCAACATATATGAATTTTGGGAGCACACAAACATTCAGTCCATAACACATGAAAAAGGAAGCAAAATATCAATGCCTGCTGTCTGCCTGTGGTAGGCAGATTCTAAAATGACCCATCCCCTTGTCCTCTCTACTTAGTGAAGGCAGGAACTGTGAATATCACTACTGTATTATGTTATAGAAAGTAATATGGTAAAGGTGAAGAATATTGCAGGTATAATTTCAGTCCCTAATCAGGTGATTGTGTTAATCAAAAGGAGGATTAGTCTCGTGGATGTGACCTAATAAGGTGAGCTCTTTAAAAGAGAGACTGAGGTCAGACAGATTCTTCTGCTGGCCTTCAATAAGCAAGTTGTCAGGACAAAATAAACTGTGCCAACAACCATGTGACCTTAGAAGAGGAGCCTCGGATGAGACCACAATCCCAACCAACACCTGACTGTAGTCATGTGAGACTACAGAGAGCCACAAAGAGTTATGCCTGGACTTCTGACCCATGGAAATAGTAAGATAAGAAATGTAGGAATGTATTTGATTTTAAGCTGCTAGTTTTTGTTCATTTGTTAGGTAGCACCGAAAATTAATCCACTGCCACAACAATCTTACCCAGTAGATAATGCCTAAACATAATTCAGACAAATGGTAAAAGATGGAGTTAAATATAACTCTTTACACACATAAATAACCATAAATGTATTTCCCAAACTAATTCTGCTTATTGGTTTAAAAGATGAGTACCTAATCACAATCAAATTTTTGCCGTCTAAGGAACTCATTAGCTAATAGCTCATGAATTGGTCTGTTTGTTTTCCAATTATTTTTTCATGTTAGCTTACTCCAGCCTTTCTACCAAGTACAGGGAAAAAGACAAGGCTAATCACTTAAGTCCATGATTATTAAAGCCTAAATATTTCGTGTTCAAGTTCCCAGAAAGGACAGGAAAAGATGAAGGCAAAACTGTCATCTGGTCACTTTTCCCACTTCTATTCAAAGTTTTAGAATTTGGCAACCACAATGAAAACAAACAAACAAACAAAACAACCCATTCTGAGCCTGTTATCAAACAAAACAAATTCCTCCAAGAGGGCTCCTAATGACCCCCACCTCCTGGCATTCATGCCCTTGTAAAATCCCCTCCAAAGTGTGTGCTGGATTTAATGACTCACTTCTAATGAAAAGAACATGGTAATGTGACAGGATGTCACTTCTAAGACTAATTAATAAAAAGAACATGGCCTCCACCTTGAGCACTCTCTCTTGGATTCCCAGGGGGAAGACAGCTGCATGTTGTAAAGCAGCCCTGGGGAGAGGTCCTAGTAGCAAAAAATCAGTCTGCCAATACTACTTGGGTGACTTTGGAAACACACTCCCCCCATTCCCCAACCAAGTTGGGCCTTCAGATGAAACCACAGCCCTGGCCAACAGCAAGCTCAGAAGAGATTTTGGAGGACAGGTACCCAGCTAAGTCATATCAAGATTCCTGACTCACAGAAACTGGGAGATAACATTTATTGTTTTCAACCATGAACTTGTAATTTGTTACACAGCAAAAGCTAATACTCACCACACCATCAAATGTAAGCTAGAAATATTAGTTTGAGGTGACAATACAAAAAGAAAAAAGAAAAGAAAAAATTCAATAAAAAGATAAAAGCTCTACCTTAAGCACTCTTCCCGATAGGCCAATAATTTCGCCATCTTTTGGCTCTACTACTGTAGCAGTATTCACATCACCACTTCCTGTTGTGTCAATGATGTCAACAATTTTTGGTTTTCCATCAGATGTAACCTAAAAATTAAAGAGAATTAAAATGAGTTATACATTTAATTGTCTATCCTAAAAAGAAAGCAATGCAAATCCCGTGTGTGCATATGTACACATATATAAAACATCCTATAAAATCAGCATTTGTTATAAAAAGAGAACTGAGCCCTAGCCTGTTTTGCTCAGTGGTTAGAGCATGAGGCTGCAGACTGGGGGGTTTCGGGTTTGATTACCATCAAGGGCGTGTACCTGCGTAGCAGTTTAGATCCCCAGCCCTGCTTATGCAGGGACAATCAATCGATGTGACTCTCTCATCAATTCTTTCTCTCTCTCTCTCTCCCCGCCTCCATCTCTTCCTTCCATTCTATCTAGAAATCGATGGAGCCCGGTCGGTGTGGCTCAGTGAATTGAGCACTGTCCCATGGACTGAGAGGTCCCGGTTCAATTCCTGACCGGGGCACATGCCTGGGTTGCAGGCTCAATCCCCAGTTGGGGGTATGCAGGAGGCAGCCAATTGATACAGCTCTCTCACATCTATGTTTCTATCTCTCTTTCCCTTCCTCTCTCTCTAAAAGAATCAATCAATAAAATAATAAAAGAAGAAATCAACGTAAAAATATCCTCGGGTGAGGACTAACAAAAAAGAGAGAGCGAGAACTGAATTGTTTTAAACCAAAAGCCTGACAATGTTAAAAAGAAAATTTACTCATAGGAAACACCACAGAATCCTTCAAGTGGTTTCATATACTAATTTAATAAATATTTGCCGAACAATTACAATAAGCCACACTGTTTTAGGTGTTAGGAATATAATAATGATCAATCCACAAACATCCCTGACCTCACAGATCCCACGTTATACAATCACTAAACAAATAAGTAAAAAATATAACATGTCAGCCCTGGCTGGTTTGGCTCAACAGTTGGAGCGACAGCCTGTGGACTGAAGGAAGGAGGATTTGATTCCTGGTCAGGGGCGTGAGCCTGGGTTGCAGGTTTGGTCCCTGGCTCCAGTTAGGGTTGTGTAGGAGGTGACCAATTGGTATGGGTGTCTCTCTCTTACATCACTGTTTCTCTCTCTCTCTTCCTCCCTTCCTTTCACTCTGTCTGGGAATCAATGAAAGAATATCCTTGGGTGAGTATTAATAACAATAACCACAGTGAGAGAGAGAGAGAGAGAGAGAGAGAGAGAGAAAGAGAGAGAGAGAGAGAGAACGAACTTGTCAGATAGTGATAATTGTTGTGAAGAAAAATTAAGCAGGGAAAAGAAACAGGAGGTATGGGGCTTTTGATTTTAACCAAGATGGTAAAAAAATTCTCACTGAAGAGGTAACACTTGAGAAAAGATCTGAAGAAGGTGAGCTTGAAGTTGGACAAGTACAAAACTCTAAGGGAAAAACGTTTAATAACATTTCTTTATTGGATACCATAATACGCACTCAAACTTCGTGTGAGCCCAAATTCAAACTTAACACTGAAACTTGTTTCTCACCAGGCTTTGTCATCTCAGGCAAGCAACACACAGCCAGTCACTCAAACCAAAAACTAAGAGTGTTCTCTGACTCTTTAGTTTACCCCCCACATCAAATCTGTCAGGAAATCATCTTAATTCTACTTCTAAAATAAGAGTTCAAATCCACTTTCTTCTCTTGAGGAAGTACCTTCCACCAACCATCCTGTCTTGCCATACTGTAACGCCAGTACCTCCCAGTGTCCATTCTTGGCCCCCATAAAATCAATAGCGAAACAAACTGTATTATGCCAGTCCTCCACTCAACACCCTACTATGGATTCACTGAGTGTTCAATATAAGAAACCTTTTGCCAGATCTGACCCCTGCCATTCCCAACTACTCATGACTCTCACCACACTGGCTTCAATTCCTGAAATATTCCACACTTTTCTCTGCCTCTCAACTTTGCAGAGAGGAATTCTGCTTGGAATTCTCTGTCCCTTCAGTCTTTCCACAGGAATTTCAATACTATCTTAGTTTTCTACTAAAATCTCACCCCATCAGAAAGGTCTCCCTGTGACTTCCTTTAAGCAGCTACCATCCTAAACCTGATTATTCTTTCTCACTGTATCTTGTTTCCATCACAGAACTTAACTCAATATGTAATTATAGATAGGTAACTCCTTTATTTTCACTGTTAGAAGATTAGCTCCATAGGACTAGAACTATGTCTATTCACCAAACCTAGCAGTTCCAGTTAGGTACTCAACACATATTTAATTACTGAATGATATGACACTAATTACTCAGCATTAAGACTAATTTTCGTAAGGTCTGGTTTCTTGGCCAGCCCACAAACTTTCCTTTGGGCCACGCTGACTGCTACAGAAAACAGTAGTACTGTATTTTCATATTGCTTTGTTTGAAAAATTATTTCTCTTGGATCTTTCTGGGCTAGAGAATCTGTAGCATTCAGCACATATGTACTGAGTTTCCAGCAGGAATCATGTGCAGACACAATGAACTAAATAAAGAAGACCTCTACCTTCAAGAAAGAAGAATATAAAAAAATGCCAAGTATGACAAAAGCACAAGGACTTGGGACTCCTTTTCCACCTGGAGAATTCACACTCATTTAAGATAAAGCTTAGTGTCCCTCTCTATGAGTCACCTGCCTCCCGCCCCAATACCAACTGCAGTGTCCTTAAAGTTCTGTAGTTAAGTTCCCCGCCACCTCCACATGCAACCCTCTTCAAGTTCAGGGTGGGCAGCTGACTCATAGTGGGGCCTATGGCCAGACCAGGGTAGGAGTCATGATCAGGAGGTGGAAAACAGCACCTGTACAACAACTTACATGACATGGTCAGAGGTGAGCTTCACAGTAAGCCAGCACAAGGACTTACCCAACACACAAATGGGCCAACAGCAATGAAGACTCAACTACAACAGGAAGGCACACATAATACACAAAAGGGACATTTATCGAGCACGAGCTCAGGAGATCAAAGAGACTGTGCCATTGGGTCCCACTGGACACTTACTATAAGGCCACCCCATAAACACTGGAGGGCATAGCAGTTCTACCTATTACATAGAAACAAACACAAATAGACTGCTAAAATGAGGAGACAAAGAAACAACCCTCCAATGAAAGAAAAGGAAGAATCTCCAGAAAAAGAGCTAAATGAAATAGAGGTAAACAATTTATCAGATATAGAGTCCAAAGTAATGATTATAAGGATGCTCAAGGAATGTAGTGAGAATTACACGGACTACAACAGCATGAAAAAGGAAACAGAAACCATGAACATGAAGTAGTCAGAAATGAAGAATACCAATCTGACATCAAGAATACACTGGAAGAAATTTAAAGTAGATTGAATGAAGCGGAAGATCGAATCAGTGACTTGGAAAATAAAGTAGAAAAAAACAATCAACTATAGTAGCAAAAAGAAAAAATAATTAAAAAGGAGGATAGTTTAAGGGAAGTTTGGTGCAACATAAAATGTAAAATATCCATATCATGGGAGTATCAGAAGGACAAGAAAGTGAGCAAGGAACAGAGAACCTGTTTAAAGAAATAATGACAGAAAATTGCCCTAACCTGGTAAAGAAAAAAGTCACACAAGATTAGGAAACACAGAGAGGTCCAATCAAGATGAACACAAAGAGACCCAGACCAAGACACATCCTAATTAAAATGACAAACATTAAAGACAATGAGAGAATGTTAAAGCAGCAAGAGACAGAAAGTTACAAGGGAGTTCCAATTAGAATGTCAGGTGATTTCTCATCAGAAACACTCCAGGCCAGAAGGGATTGACATGAAGTATTCAAAGTAATGAAAAGCAAGGACCTTAATCCAAGATGACTATCCAGCAAGACTATCATTTAAAATTGAAAGTGAAATAACTTCCCAAACCAAAAAATAAAATAAAAAGGCCAGAGGTCTGCATTACCAACAAACAAGCATTGCAAGAAATGTTAAAGGGACTGATTTAAGAAGAAAAAAAAAAATTAAGAGAGGAACATAGGTATAAAGGAAAAAATGAGTAAGTACTGATCAATAATAACCTTAAATGTATATGGACTGAATGCTTCAATCAAAACACATAGGGTAGCTGAATGGATAAGAAAACATAATCCATATATATGCTATCTACAAGAGACCCACCTCAGAGCAAAAGATTCATACAGATTGAAAGTGAAAGGATGGAAAAAAATATTCCATACAATGGAAACCAAAAAAAAGCCAGGGTAGCAATACTCATGTCTGACAAAATAGACTACAAAATAAACGCCACAGCAAGAGAAAAAAAGGCCACTACATAATACTAAGGATTAACCCAACAAGAAAATAGAAGCTTTGTAAACATATATGCACCCAATATAGGAACAACGCTGTGTGTGTGTGTGTGTGTGTGTCCGTGAATGTATTTTAAACCTCTTGGAGGACTTTGAGAGACTGACAGAAGTACAGTCATAATAGAGAATTTTAACACCCCACTGACATCACTAGATAGATCTTCCAGACCAAAAAATCAATAAGGAAACAGAGGTCTTAAACACACATGACATCAGATGGATTTTAATTGCTCTTTACAGAACACTTCATCCCAAAGAGGCAGAATAGACATTATTCTCAAGTGCACATAGAACATTCTTAAAGATAGACTACATGTTAGGACACAAAATAAGTATTAATAAATTCAAGAAGATTGAAATCATATCAAGCATATTCTTGGATCCCAACGGTATAAAACTAAAAATCAACTATAATAAAAAAACTCAAAAATATTCAAGCACATGAAGGCTAAATAGCATGTTATTAAGCAATGAATGGGTTACCAATGAGATAATGAAAGAAATCATAAACTTCCTACACAACAACCCCAAACCTATGGTGAAAGCAGTCCTGAGAGGGAAGTTCACAGCATTACAGGCCTACTTAAGGAAATAAGAAAAAGCTCAAATAAACAATCTAACCTACAACTAAAAGATTAGAAAGAGAGCAACAAGAAAATCCCAGAGTAAGTAGAAGGAAGGAAGGAAATAACAAAGATCAGGGTGG